GGCAAAGGAAACTTATCCTATACAGTACGTGAATTCAAGACCCTATAATCTACGAACATTCGATCTGTGCAGTCTTTCTTTTTGACGAAAATTACGGGGCTTGCGTATGGTGATTCGGATTCACGTATAATGCCTTTAGCTATTAAGTCTTTAACTATACTTCGAACGCGAAGCTTCTTATCATACGATAATTTGTACGGCCTACAGCATACTGGTTCATTGTTGGAAATTTCTATTTTCATACTACCTGTCGTGACTGTGGTCGAAGCCGTGCCGGTTATAAAGAACCTTGAAAATTTAATAATTAACTAACGAAAGCTGTTCTTTCTCTTCACCTATGAGAGGTGTGTTCACGTTATTAATACCGAAAGCATGGTTTACCGGTATAGGTATGCCTGTACGGGTCAGAATTTGAACACCATTCTGTCGGATATATATGATGCCCTCACGATTCAAAATATCGGTGCCTATAATGACCGGAGTACTGATGCAATTGTGGGGTACCACATAAAAATCAGCTTCGATAGATATGTGAGGTAGCTCCACAATTAATGTCACAAACGAGGTACATTCACACAAGGCGCGATATGTTAGTTTTCGGTTAACTTTAAAGTGTTTTAACAAAGAACTCTATATGAGTGATATACAGGAACTACTCTTTACTAATAAATCAATCGGTATGCCTGCGATTACCGCGCTTGTAACATCGATTGTAGATCTCGAAACGTTACTGTCTAATTTACTACAAAAATTAACATCGTATGGGTTGAGTTTTGTCGACTCCGAACTTTGTTTGATAAAACAGTTACTAATTTCGTGACCATTATTTTTGCAAAATGAGCATGTTACATAATGTGGGGATTGCGTGTTAGACGGTGACGACCCCAAACTATTACCTAGCCGCGTTCTTTTAGCACTCATACAGTCTATACGTTTATGCCTAAACCTTCCACACAAGTGACATTTTAAATCGCCAACTCCCTTTTTATTTTCGTTTCGTCGGGTAATGGTTGATCAAAGACTAGAGCGCGATCTACAAGATATATCGTGGGTAGACGAAAAATCATTTTTTGGTTTTACGTACATCGACAAAAATTGCACTAAATCGTTGGGTTGTAGCTTTGCATTAGTAGCTGCAGCTTTAATGTGAGGATCTGTGATGCCTCTCAATACTATAGCAACAATTAGTTCGTCAGATAGTCCCTTAACCAAACCCAACCTTAACAATGAAAGTCTAGCGTCAAACGTCGATATTGTGAAGATGAGGGTCAAAGTTAGAAATATAATAATTATTAGACCTTACTTTAACTAGCGAAGTGATGGCCTCCACGATTCTGCCAGTTGCATCCCCGCCTGTGGCAATGCTCTCCTGTGATAACAAAACAGGTGCGCGGCCTGCCGTCGAATTGCCGTCATGTACGTCGTCGGTGGCTGCGAGCGCGCTGGTGAGCACGGGCAGCACCGAACGCGGTGCCGACCCCGAAGATGTTGATGCAGCCTGTAAAAGTGGCTCAGACGGCGTCGGCGGTGAAGTAAAACGTTCCTCGAGCGCATTCAATCTAGCAAGGATAGCATCCAGCATATCCTTATTCGAATCACGCTTGCGTTTACGAGAGCGAGATCGTTGCTCGGATATTTTGAAATTTGTAAACCGAAAACTAAACAAAAAGAAAACTACGAAATCGTTAAAATCTAATTACAACACTAATCTTTTTAATTTTAATATTAGTCAGGTGTTCCGAAAGCGGGTAGGCAACGAAGCACTATCCCACTTCTGATATTACAGATTAGAGGTTAAATTCTTAATAAAAATGCACTCAAAAACAAAATTTGTAATATAAATCTTTTATAACACTTTTACAATATTAATCAGCAATTAATGATTTAAGGTAAATATCTAATTCCTAGCACAACCACTCTCTCCGACCGTTCGAGCCAAAGTGACCCTGCCACCTCCCACGGCGACCGGCTTTCTGGGCTCGAAACCCCACCACCGCGGTGACGCAATCATTAGCCACGCCCCCTGTCTAGTCATCACGTAACATTACATTATATACCGAGAAAAACAATAGTGAAATCCCGGAAAAATTTGACACTTCTTTAGTGCGTGCGTGACTTTTGACAAGCAAACGAAAGGCGATGTTTAAACATTGGCACGCTAGATGGCATCCATGTGATCTTAAATAATTCTGATAAATCAATATCTTAAGTTCAATAATTGGTTAATTTCCTTTCCAACCGTTAAAAAAACAGTATAAAATAACATAAAACTAATGACCTTAGACACCTATGTTTTTTTGTAAACAATTTTATTACTTATTATCGTTGTGTGGCATATGAAAAGTCGTAGGTAAAGCAACGTTGCCGTCCTTCCTGACAACAAACTGCCGTAGACAGAGAAGTCTACGGTACTAAAGAAGAAAGCAAGACGGAACAAAAGCGTTGCCAAACTTACGTACGTTCACTTGTTTGACTTGTATAAAATATAATATTCTGATTTCGGTTGTCACGCGCTATGATTTGCGCGCGGAATTTCTTGTGTATTATACATATTTTGTATGTATGTTTTCATTGATTCGAATTGCAATATTTCTCTAGTATATATTTGAGACTATATTGTAATTTATCGTAGGTATAGTAATTAATTATTTTAAAAACGAATTTATGTTTTCGATAGTATTATTAACAGCAGGCTGGCCCGTGATTTTTCTGAAATATCGTCACAATACTGATTACCTTCGTCATACGTGTCAGTGTTTCATATATGAATGTGTTTGAATATGTTTTTGGTCAACAATAAATACAATTATTATAAATCGGTAAACTACCAAAGTAGTCACAAAATTAAACTTGCAAACATTTGCTAAATATGGTTTTGCCGGGTTACATTAAACACCCTTTACGCATTTTGCAAACAGTTTCAGACAGACACACATTATTAGTTATATTTTGTAGAGCTCAAGTTCACTCGTCACTACGTCACACCTTATGATGCGTTCAGAAACAAATATAATTCAGTTACATAAAATCCTTTTTTATGTTCCGTGCTTTATTGTTTATAAATAAATAGCTTATTCTAATCTGAGTTATATTTTTCTTATTCGTTGGCCAATTCTACCAGGAATATAAAGATAACATTGAAATAAAAAGATAAGTAAATTTTTGTACATTTTAGTGTTCTAGATCTTGTGTTCCGAACGCAACCCAATTCATATAGAATTGAAGGAAGATTTGTATATATTATATTTTATAGTACCTACCTGGATGACCGAGCATTTCTCGGTATTTTTTTTTTTTTGGAAATCGTGTGTTTTGGCAGTTATATTTAGATTAAAAATACATACTGATAAAATATGAAGAATATTTTTTGATCTTACTGACATAATAGAAAAAAACTGAACTGGTTATTAAAATGAAAAATCATAAGTGCAATAAAATTTTCGTATTTTAAAAAAAATACTACAAAAAGGGCTCGAAATAATAGATTTTCTCACAAAAGAAAGGAACTTGAAAAAAAAAGGAAAAAAAGTCAATTCGTAAGACAAGACGCGAATCATGGAACTACGATTTCGCGACAGTGCGTTATCCACTTGAGCTATTACGACCAATAAATAATGTTAAAATTTACATTCTTACATTGTAACAGTTTTTCATTGCCTGAAAACGGGGATAAAACGACATTTTATGAAAATCGTTGGAGCCGTTTCCGAGATTCCGATTATATATACACAAGAATTTTACTAAAAGCTTTTGTTGAGTCCTTCGAAATTAGGAAATATTATTTTCAAACTTCCTGGTTATTATCACAAAATAAATCGTCTTATAGATTTGTTGTTATCTCTTGTTTGTGAATTATAGTTTCTTACGTGTTGGTTATGAAATGTATAATTATTGTAATATATTGGATACTGTTACAAATCATATGATATACATTAAATCATATGATCAAGAAATATAAAAAAAGTACTTGACATAAAGTCATTTAAATTTTTTGTACATTTTTTAGCTTGATCTGTATTTTTAAAGTACAATTATTAAAAACACAATTACTATTGCTGCCATTTACCGTCACATTACAATTGCTAAAAAATAAGACAGTTGTGAATTCAGGTTTGATAGATAATTTACATATAAGCCAACATCTGGATCATACAGAACTGTAAATCGAGTCTTATTGCACCTTTGGTTTCGTTTAATTAAATCTTTAGACACGATTTTTGTTTAAATCATTTAGTATTCTACAATTTTTCAATTAAAAAGTGTATTTAAGTCACTTGTACTATAAAATAATGTACGATACACGGAACTTATAAGTAACAGATTATTAAAACGTGCAAAGTTAGTGCAATCGCTTCGCTCGTGCGCTAACTTCACACGGTTCAATAATCGGCTACTTAAGTCCCTTGTATGGTAATTATTACGGCATTTAATATTAACTTATTTTTAATGTCTGACGTTTCTGTGCTTTATAGTACTTTTCTACTGTGACCATAGATTTTTAAAAATTTTATTCAAACTAGTTACATATTTTATATAATCAATTGTATTTTACAAAGTAAAGTTGTCAGTAAACTTAAAACTGTTTCTTATGATGCTATTTCAAAAATAAAATTAAGTGCAATTGCACTTATTTTTATTTCTGAAACAGCATCCGATGTCTAATTGGTTTATTTCACAGTTCACTGTAAGAAATGTATTGATGTCAATGTGTCACGAAAAGTTAGACTATTCTGCCATATGAAGCGTATCATCTTTTTTTTATAGAATATCGGTAACGAACGAGCACACAGTTTACCTGGTGGTAAGTGGATGTTGCAGCTCATAGACAGCTATATCTATCCTCAATTTAGATTCAATATGCAAATGAATTCTCTCCCTTAAGAACTAAGGTGGTATGCCTCGTTTCCAGCAAAAAGGGTTATTCGTTAGGTATTTACCCACAAAGTTATGCATTTCGCACGTTGTCAATCATGTCATATATTTCTATCCTCTTGTTTCAGAAGTCACATGTTGCAAGCGGACTCTGAGGAGATGCTGAACTCTTGGATAACGGCGTTGCAAAACGGGATCCGTTCGGCGATACAACAGGGCCAAAGTCGAGACAACCCTGACTCGCAGATTGTCCTCGTCCCTGACGACACCCGCCTTTCTTACGACAAGAACAACGTTGCCAACGCGCGTATGAAGAAAGTCAGGTGAGTTTGTGGGCTCGTATTTTTTTATAAGTTATTATGCTTAATTTCCTAAGTAACAAGGCCGATTCGTGCCGTGGCGGTGTAAGAATATCCACTACGCCATATCATTCCGTGGGTGTCGAAAGAGGCGACAGAGGGAAACTAATCGGCAGCAGCGTCTTCCTCATAACGTTTAAAATAAAAAAAACTGCAGTTGCCAACCGACTTGCCAAGCGTGGCCATTGGCAAATATCCCTATGAGGCAATCTATGGTCTATGTTTAGCAGGGGACTTTAAACGGCAGAATCATACATGTAATAATGTGTATAGTAGACTCAGTTTTTAAGATACCGCTGTCTCTCACTTCCTGATTATAAATAAATAAGATAAATAATGAATGAAAATTATCGGAACTGCTTTATTACCTTTTAGGTCTCATATAAGGTATCCTTACAATTTTTTTTTTGGCCAGCTGTCGTTATGTATCACAGCTTCATTACTTTGGTATTTTAACCAAATATCATGAGAAGCGACTGAGAAAAATAAACCTGGAGCTGGGCTGCATGCTATAAAGCGTGGCTGCTATGAACACATATTACCCATGTATAGAAAGATGTGGGCAAGTCTAATGTTAAGTAAACATTACGTCTACTATTCCATATAACCAATCTTACTTAGCTGAAAATGCTTGATCAAGGAGCGGCTTACGACAGTAGTCGAATGGCCCCTAATATAATAATAACCATAGTAAGATATACATAAATCGCCACACCTGTGATCTCCGAGGGGTAGGCAGAGTTCAAAGAACAGGGAGCGACTCTTTTTATAAAATATAGTGACAAACAAACTTACAGCCCACCTGGTGGTAAGTGTCATCAACTACTGTCACCCATAGACACTTGCAAGCACCTTAAATAACACTACAGATGCGTTGTCGTCCCTTAGTAACTAAGATGGAATGCCGCATATGTATGAGATATGAAATGTAAGCACTAGCAAATGTAAACACTGATATTTGGGGTCAGAAACAATAAAAAAGGGGGCTTGTCCAGATGGCCTCTAGGCCGAAAAGAAGTCATACAACCTACTCGGACCACATTTAGCCGAAAAATATGAGTTTACATGGAAAATAGTGTGTTTTTAATTTGTTGCAGAACCTCATATGTATATCTCTAATTATATGCCTAATGGTTGACTAAAATAGAATGCCCTATGGTAGTAAGTTGGCCATGTGTTTCATTTATTTATGCATTTAAATGCATAAATAAATGAAACAATTTTTTAAAACGTTACCTAGATTACCTAGTTACTAGAATTTTCTCCTGTATCGTGGGGGCAGGGGGCAGTTTACAAACATAAATTTCACTAGGACAAACATCCAGACCCGGAACAATTACTTGTGGGCCATACCAAAAACTCGTTCAGTGCGGGATTCGAACCCGCGGCCCTTAGCGCTGTAAACTCTTTGCTAAGCCACTACGCCACGGAGCCGTCTGTGAAAGAAGTGATAGGTAGCTAGCCCATCGCCTAATCCTATACCATTAGAAAACTTTTACGGCATGCTAGGTAAATAACACAATAGGCACATTCTATTTAGTTATAAGTTCCAAATAAATATAGAATTTATAAGGCCCAGTCCCAGAACTACATGAGACATTAAATAATAACTTACGCCGTTTTAGTCATGCGGAAGTCTTCGTTTCTGTTAGACGAGGAGATGCGCGACCTCTTAAATAACATTGCACCGCCCATGATGTATATATTTATCACTAAAAATCTGTTATAAAATCTCACTATATCTGCTATACTTTTTCTTTGTAATTTTGTATTATCGCTAAGTCATCGACGACCTTTTCACCAACCAATTGTAGACGCGTAATAAGTTGCCATGTCAAAATCCAGTGTTGTCAGATCAGTGCTGCCAGATGCCTTGAACCTTTTATCTGTAGTAGAAACTTAACTTTAGTTTCGTAGTCTATATCCTTAACCTTAAGGCAGCTGTCGACTTTGTTATGTTATTATGCAATTGTTCTGTACAGGATATGGGAGCAGTTGTTGAGCATACCCGGCAACAACTATTGCTGTGATTGCGGTAGCCCAAATCCCCGTTGGGCCAGTATTAACCTCGGCATCACGCTTTGTATTGGTATGCTATACATGTAACTATCAATATAACACCTATAAATGTACTGCTAAATATTGCACGTGCTTAATATATTGCTAGTAACACGATTTATGTATTTTTATAATATTTTTCTTTGTTATTTATATTTTAACTACCGGCTACTGGATTCTTATCCGGCTCAAAGGACTAAGCAACTTACAAATACTGGAGGCAGATTTAGTTTGTTTTTTTGCGGAATAGGTAATCAAAATGCCTGAGTGGACGTTCGCTATTGAAGTGTTTTTTAAAATCTGCGATTCTTGTCCAATTGCTGAAGAATTTGTTCACTGTACAATATCGCTATGTAACGCCCCAAGTGAAGATTTGATCACGATCACATTGTGGGTGCAGAGGTTCCGGGTAATGAGTTTCGCAGCAAACAACCCGCGACGGGTCCCAGCCGGACATCTAAAATAGAAAAATACATTGCGGCGTCCGCGTGCAATAAAGCGGCTGCCCCAGGGCTCACAAAAACAATTTTACAAAATATTGAACATGTATCATCATTTTTATCTCTTTTAAATATCAAATGTCGAAATCCTAATGGCCACAACTTGCGAAAAACTTCTGCGATACAATGTAATCGACATTTCGTACGGTAAACACAATCTTTTAAAGTGATGAAGCCCACTTACATTTAGATATATATCTAAATAAACAGAATATCCGTTATTGGCCACCTAAAGGACTGAATCCAGGTTTAAATCACCAAAAACAACTTCACATTACAAAAGTCACAGTTTGGTGTACATTATCAAGCAGAAAATATCTACTGGACGCCTTTTTTTTTTAAACATTTTTAGATTTAGCAATTACTGTGTATGCATAAGCAACACGTTTATCGGTGCATGCTCTTATTATTTTTAACATTGAGCTTATTTTTAATGCTTCTTCGCGATTTATTCCCGAACAAATTGATAAGCCACTTCGGTGATATCCCCTGGCCACGAAGGTCACTGTATCAGCCGTCAGTCGTATCTCAATGCCATGGATTTTTATGTGAGGGTACTTTAAGAGTAAAATTTACGAAACACTAAAAGAAAATATCGTTCGTGATGTTAATTGTATCTCGCAATCACTTCTCCATCGAGTTGTTTAGGATGCTGAGGTCAAATTCCACAAGTGTGTTCGACGGCGTATTCAACGTTAGGACGAAAAAAAAACTTTTGAATTTTGTAAAACTTACTTAAATAAATGTATGCAATTTGTAGTTTTCTTTTTCTGTTCATTTTTGATTTTTAATGCCATCGGAAACTCTGTACAAACATCATTTAAACGAAACACTGTGAAAGTTAAACGTTATATCAGAGCTTTGTCTCTTAAAAATTAATATGTGAAGGGTAAACGTTGTGCCCCTTTTTGAACATATTGCGTGAACAGAGAAGTGTTTAAAGTGCGAGATAAAGTTTATATGGATAAAGAGTGCAAAAAGCTGAAATTTCTATATAATATTTTGAATTACAAATACATTAAATAAAACATTCGTTGTTTACGTTCGTTCGTTGTCTACATACTGACAAAGTCAATTTTAAAACAAGAGTCTATGGCTATGGACAAATAGTCGCACAGAACGTGGTTTCTAATGTTTCTTTTTCAATATTCTGCTTAATGTATGTCAAAACGAAAAAGCTTTTATTTTATTTTTTGTATATTTGATATCAAAGTTTTATATACTTATGTGCAATTGAAAGCATATATAATACATAATGTGGTTGGGGTCATAAATGTGTTATTTTTCCAATTCTCATTTATTTTTAGTGTAAAATGTAAGTAAAAATAGTTTTCTTACATATTTCAAATAACTTGACGTTGTATTTATTTCAAATTCACACAAAAATATTTTTGAAATATTGTTCGAAATGTCATACAGATAAATATTATAATTATTATTTTTTTTTAATTTTTTTATATTTTAATATTTTGGTATGAGTAACGAATAGAAACACATAAAACATAAAAATATACATATTTCCAAACATTTTCATATAAATTTCTCCAAAAACAAAAGTGTAGAATTCAAATTAGTAGTAATTTTGGCACTAAAAGTGAAGTATATACTACTACTTATGCTATAAAGGGTAATTTATGAATTTTATTATAATTTCTAACAACCAAAATAATTTTATTCAATAGTTTATACATTCAACAAGAATTCCTGTAAATTTTATCCATAAATATTGTCTCAAGTGAAAATATAGCAAAATTTGCAATATAGCAAAAAATTTGCTAATTTGCAAATTTTCCCGCCATTACGGTCGCGAGCGAACGGGAGTGTCAGGAGGCCACGTAATATACGTGGCCTCGCGAGCTGACAGGTTATATATACTGATAGTTGAAAGTGAAAGACAGCTTGCTTAATATACAAACTTAAAAATTTAATGAATAGTCGAATTTCGACCTCTGAACGACCACTGGTTTTAAGTCATTAAGGCACTCATTATATTTAAATCGTGTAGTGAAAGAGAGAGAGAGAGAATGAGAGAGAGAGAGAATCCACTAAGCTTATATCATTCTATGGCGTAGGTGTCGTAAAAGGCGACAGAGGGAATTTGAAACAGAAGATGGGTACACAACAGAAGCATCTTCCCAATAATCCACAAAAGCTATGGTAGGCAAACTGCCTGCCAATCAGTCGGCTATGGTAAATATTTCACCCAAGGATCTAGGTAATCTATGGGAGAGGCCTGTGTTCAGCATTGGGCTCAGGCTGTAATGATTATGATGATGATGATATTATATTTGATTAATTTATCAGTTAACTTAAGTTTTTCTTTATAGCATGTTCAGGCGTGCACCGTTCTCTAGGCGTGCACGTAAGCAAGGTACGTTCGCTGACACTTGACGATTGGGAACCAGATATTATTAAGGTAATTGTCTGTTATATATTATTTATTTTTATGATTTGCTTCTACGGAATGTGATAAAATCTATGTGTACAATCCATAGAATACTATAATACACAATAGAATGGCTGTCAACCTTATTTTGCACGAGTTTCGGCGTCGCCGGGAGCACACGTACCAGCAATTACGTCGTATTATCAGTTAATCACTACTACAAACACGATTCGCTGTGTTGACAGACGGATTTTAATACATATTTTTTCATTCATTTGTAAATAGCGTGCAATTTGGCATTTTCTAAATAATTTGCATGCAAAATTTGGAAACGATTGTAACGTAAAAACACATCACGTGTTGACATTTATACGTGTGAATTGACGTGTTAGTGGCATTTTAGTGGCTACACAGGCTCAGCCCACTCCCCCGTTCTATTATATATGTATTACAGTATTCTATGGTACAATCCCTGTTTGTTCGTATTACATATCGAGCGCAAGAAAGACAACATCGATGTAATCTTCTTTGTAGGGCGTCGTCTTTATCGTACCTGTAAAACAAGTGCGTTGTTTATAATCGAATAAAAATTATTAGTAAATGCGGATATAACGAAAGCTATATTATATATTTTGAAGTGATAACAAACTCTTCAAAATCTAAGACGACTGACAATTCATCACTAACCGTTGTTATCGTCAACTTGACGTCATGCACGGGTGTGAGATAAAAGAAAACGCTCTACAAAACCGAAAATAGCCTATTATGCATCATAGATCCTTTCCTAAGCTCGATGTGCAAACTTTACGGCTGTATACTTGTGGTGAAATAATTTTCATGGCAGTATTTTTAATCATTTTCTCTTATCAATTTTCACTTATAAATAAATTAATTTACTTCATCAGGTAATGGCGGAACTAGGAAATAAAATAGTAAATTTAATCTACGAGGCCGACACCGAAGGAACCGAAATTACCCGAGCTACACCGGACTGCGAAACGTAAGTTGAACATTCAGTTATTATATTTTTAACTGACCCTGCAAAATATTGCCCATGCATATTATGTCATATTTTTATATTTGAAACCTAATCTGTTATGCATTCAGGATAATATGTTATAGCCTTAGTATTTTGGAATTATTGTTTGACGTTAATTTTGGTTAAAAAAACAAAAGAGAACTGATATCAATCCAAAACTTATGCTTCTGGGCAGATAAATGTTTTATTCTAGCTACTTCGTTGCTAATAATAATACAATTTTGTCTACTATATTAAAGTGTTTTTTTGTCAGATTTAATTATAATCTTAAATCAAAAGCTTTGTTTAATTTAATAAAATAATTCTTAATGTTGTTACGATGTAGCGATGTAAAAGAATTTATCACAATATTATTACTAAGTGAATTAATATTAAAGTTCATTAATTTATGTATTGTCATCGTTCCTTAAACAATTATAATTTGAAATTGCAAATATTTTTACCAGATTTCTTGTCCTAAGATTTAAATTTTCAAATCTCTAACTCATCAGAAAGTTAGTTTAAAATCGATTGCAAAATTTATACCGAATAGACGCGAAAGCATTTTAATAAAAACGAGATAGAAACTAATCTTTTCTGAGATCGCAGGTAGGCATAGGCCGCTTTTCCACGTACAAGAACATTCGCGGAAGTCTTGTATAAATTTATTGCAATAATGTTAACATATCGTATGAATTCTTGCAATTTTTTCCTGCAAAAATATTGAAAGAAGGTCGCGGATCTCACGAAGCCTATGGCAATTTAGTTTCGAATATTATTGCAGGTGGAAACGCCGTCTATGGACTTATTTGCCACATCCTATGTTAGGTATATATATTATCCCATAATTAAAGACTTAAAGAGACATAAGACAGGGATGCTCATCAATAATGAGTTACCTTGAATTTGTATTTAAATCGAGTGTACTTCTTGCGAGATATACGAAACGAAACCGATTAGCAGTGATCTGTCGCGAGTCAACATGATGTTTAGAACTTGCAATTAATTGAACTTGCAACTACTCGCAGGAAACACTTGAGAAACAATCTCGATTGCGCTTGTTATGTTGTTTACATCTGCAAGTTATTGTCTGACAGACTGTCGGACACTTCTTGCAGGTGGTAACGCGGCTTTATGGAAATTTATGAAAAGTTATGTTGTTTTAAATTCTATTTATTATGTCTGCACTTGCTTTGCCGTTATATTAAATTTAATTTTCTATCAAAAGCTGCTTTCAAATCTCTAACTCATCAGAAAGTTAGTTTAAAATCGATTGCAAAATTGATACCGAATAGACGCGAAAGCAATTTAATAAAAACGAGATAGAAACTAATCTTTTCTGAGATCGCAGGTAGGCATAGGCCGCTTTTCCACGTACAAGAACATTCGCGGAAGTCTTGTATAAATTTATTGCAATAATGTTAACATATCGTATGAATTCTTGCAATTTTTTCCTGCAAAAATATTGAAAGAAGGTCGCGGATCTCACGAAGCCTATGGCAATTTAGTTTCGAATATTATTGCAGGTGGAAACGCCGTCTATGGACTTATTTGCCACATCCTATGTTAGGTATATATATTATCCCATAATTAAAGACTTAAAGAGACATAAGACAGGGATGCTCATCAATAATGAGTTACCTTGAATTTGTATTTAAATCGAGTGTACTTCTTGCGAGATATACGAAACGAAACCGATTAGCAGTGATATCTGTCGCGAGTCAACATGATGTTTAGAACTTGCAATTAATTGCACTTGCAACTACTCGCAGGAAACACTTGAGAAACAATCTCGATTGCGCTTGTTATGTTGTTTACATCTGCAAGTTATTGTCTGACAGACTGTCGGACACTTCTTGCAGGTGGTAACGCGGCTTTATGGAAATTTATGAAAAGTTATGTTGTTTTAAATTCTATTTATTATGTCTGCACTTGCTTTGCCGTTATATTAAATTTAATTTTCTATCAAAAGCTGCTCTTACTATAAAGGCTGAGTGTGGAATTTTGTTGAAAAATCAATTGTGTGAAACAAATTTTTCTTCATTTTCATTAGCCGGTAATAATTTACTGCTACACATCGGCTTCTTCCTCTATAGGTATATTCTGTCATAATGGCCACACTTGTCCGACGTATAAACTACTGCAGCATGGAGGTAGAGAAGGAGAAAGATTGCTACGTACTATAGCATAGCCCGCATGTCCCTGAAAATTTGTAGAATTTATAACGGCGCTGCCGTCGATGAGTAGTGGCTGTGAAGTTAGCCGTTTAGGAGTACAAGTGGATGAAGTTAATTGAATAATGTACAAATTTTCTTCGGGGCATTGGTGAGAAAATAATCATGCTTCGTAATTTTTTAATTTTTGACAAAAAGAAACATTAAAAAATGGAGATATATTTTATATTGCGTGGATGTGCAAGTGGTTTAGTATCTGATCGGAAAAATAGACTGAAAATGACTTTTTTTGAAAGAACTTAGTGATCGCAGCGCGTCACTTATTTTGTCCATATTTCTGGGACACTATTTTCTACAGCGATCGTTCCCCTTCTCTTTCAACAGAATATGTTACTGAATTTACTAGTATATCTTTAAATCCTTATAACAAAGATAATAAAATCAAATAATGCCGTAACCATACTCATGGCTAGGGAAGTATTCAAAGCAGTCTTTAGTGGGTTTGTAAAAATAATTTACTTGTAAAGTTAGATATGTGTGAGTGAGATCGCGGTCGCTTCAGGTCGGTGCGCGAGGCGTGGATCCGCGCGAAGTACGTGTCGCTGTCGTTCGTGCGCAGTTTGACGGGCGCGCTGGATGCCTGCCCGCCCGCTGAACACGAACACGAGCACGAACACGAGCACGAGCACGAAATAGAGCGCGTGCCCCAGCGCAGCGTACGAAGGTGGTCCGTCCGCCGCGCACGACGCAGGTGTGCACTTGCTTCCGTCTATGGCATAACATCAGTCAGCGTCATTTACATACATAAACAATTACGCCTGTCACCCAGAGGGGTAGGCAGAGACTACAGACTTCCATTTGGCACGATCCTGACACACCTCTCTCGCCTCTTTCACATCCATATACCTACGCATACATGCTCGTCGGTTAAGGATACTCCTAATTTGGCCCGTTTTTAATAAATCGCCAATTTGGTCGATAAATTTTCGCCTAGGACATCCCTTTCCGACTCTTCCATTCACTTCTGCTACATAAATTTTCTTTGTCACTTTCCTTATTCATTCTTTCCACATGACCAAACCACCGAAGCATTACTTTCTTAATCCTGGTCACAACATCATCTTGCAAACCACACTCTTCTCTTATCACACAATTTCTCACCCTGTTATTCATATTCAGCCCTGACATACTCCTTAACGACCGCATTTCTACTGCGTTCATTCTACTATCGTGCTTCTTCCGCCACACCCAACTTTCACTACCATACGTCAAAGTAGGGACCAACACAGCATTGTGAATTGCCATACGTGCCTTTTTCGACACATTTTGACTCTTCACAATAGAGTGTAGGGCCCCATTTACTCTATTTCACTTAATGATATTTTAAAATAACAGTAAGTTGTGGAAGTACAAAGGCTTCGTTTATCTACATAAACACATCACTTAGCGTGTCATGCAGATTTTCTGTTACACTTGAAGCGTCATTAGAAGGATAGTGGTATCCGCGATAATCGATTCTGCTAAAATCGTCGCAGAACCTCAAGCTGCAGCTTTACGCATTTCTTCTTTCTGCGAGTTGTTTTGCTCTGATTAAGACATCTATTAGAAATTTTCACTTCGTTACGTACACAGTTTATAATAAATAATTAATAATACTTATTTTGTGTCGTCTCGTCTTGTTCTTACAATTATTGAATAAATTACAGAGTTCGCGCGACGCCCTCTGTACCTGAAACAATTAATGATGAAAAAAGCGATGTCAACAGCAATACCAGTGGTAAGGAAGTTTTGTTTGATTTTGTTTGAATGAAATATGAAACCAAATGGTATATTTTGCGAAACTAGTGTGACATATAAACTAACTCCCTTATCCTTCAAATCGACATTCAGTAATTACTGTTGTTTTTTATTACTATTGTCTTTCACTTTATACTCAATAACTAAACTCTTCAGTGTAAGTAATCACCAACGAAACCATACATTTTAATGGTCATTCGAGCCGGATTTGAACTAGCGACCTAAGGATCTAAATTTCACTGCTCTGCCAACTGAGCTATCAAATTGTTCAAAAGAAATTTACGAAATATGGTCGTGATAGGTGGCGCTGTAATTGAGTTATTAATAAATGTTATATTTACACTGCAAAAAGTCCTAGGTTACTTTGGAGTAAAACTAATAGCACCCCCTACCGAGAAGGACAGAACGAAGTCAGCAGAGCCAGCATTAGAATTTTTATAATTTTTTAGTTTCTTTTAGATGTAGTGTGTATATCTTTATTACAGTATCAGAAAGTTCAAGCAAGTCGGAGGACAGCCCGGTGTTATTGATCGGCAGTGAATTGTCAAGTGAACGTGCGATTAACCTCAGTCTTCCCTCCGACCACGATTCCACTGAGGGAGAGGACGGAGACGACCTAGGTAAGATTTTATCTATTTTTCTTCGTGATTTTAATATAGAAGTACTTTGTAATGTACGTAAAGTTCACATTTATATTTAATAAAGTTTTAAGAAAGTCTGTAAATGTTTTCTTAGCCCGGTATTCGGTATTCCGGATCTTGTGTTTAAACTCAAACTCCACATTGCCAAAATTTATAAAGTAAGGTTACAGCCTATATACATCCCACTGCTGGGCACAGGCCTCCTCTCATTTCTGAGAGGGTCTTAGGGCAAGGAAGTGTCCGCCGCGCTGCCCCAATGCGTGTTGGCGAACTTCACATGTCATCGAAATATTTTTTTTATTTCTTATTCTTCAGACATGCAGGTTTCCTCACGATGTTTTCCTTCACCGCCGAGCACATGGTAAATCAGCAGTTAAAATTGCAATTAACAATTTCATTGGTGCCGGCGAGGATCGAACCCGGGTTACTCGCGTTCTGTTATATTTACAGCGAGCGTTAACCACTGAGCTACCACGGCTCTTACCACTACCACGGCTCAAGTTCGTTTAGGGTCTGGAAATCTATGACGTATCATCATCAATAGAACTATATCATAGCTATTCCCTACTAGGTAAGGAAAGACATTAATGTAATCTAAAAACAAGAAAAGGCCAAGAATTGACGTTGAGGAACAACCTTAGGCTCATCGGTCACGCTCACGCTCACGTCAAAATTTGTGTAACATCTTATATATCGTATATAGTAATCAAAATACATCAGCGTGTGTGTAAAGTGCATGTGTGGGAGACAAATGCTGCACTGTGCATTTTCTGCTTTAACTTCAATTATCGATACCGATTGCAGTTTATGCGTGTCTTCTGATTTGACGCATATGAAGTAAGTCAATATTTTATCCGACTACGGCGAAGCCGATGATTACGATTTTAGATGGCTATGTATGTATATCAGTTCCTTCAGATCTTCTAAACTACTCATAGAGATTTTACAAATTAGATATCTTTAGAAGCATGCCCTTTCGTGGGTTTTAGACTGCATGAAGTCACAGAAAAATTAACATGGCTGCTTATTGCGGAGCTATACTTACTTCTAAAAATGAAATAATGATATCTATAAAATTATTAGAAAACATTAAACAGCCATATATACTAGAAACAAAATGTCATCAGGCATAACTTTTAGAATTCTTAGAACAATATTACATTTTAATTTTTAAAAAGAAAAGATAATCGTCAAACGTCCTGACCCTCTAGGACCCTGTTCTTATAATCTTCTTGATGTAGTAAGATCAGCTTTGATAACGGGCTTTTGTAAATGTAGATTTTCCACCTTTATATTTTAAAGTTACAATACTATTTAAAATTACTATTTTGTAGGGGGCAATTCCTCCTTCTTGACAATAACTTAATCTTTAATTTTAGGGGAAGAAATTGCATCTTTCTACTTATATCTATTTTGCAATGTATGTAGATATTCTGTTTTTCAATGACGCCAGAAATGCTGCGTTAAACGTTGTATCAATTGTCATCTAGAGAGCAAATTCATATTCTGGTGTTCAAAATTTTCTTCTAGTATTCCAACTAAAGGCTCTCCTATTTGTAAATTACCAGTAAGAATCGTTTTCAGCGTCTTCTTCGATGTTTCTACACAATGGACGAGAATTAAGATACCGATAATTCTAGCGAGGTGAAATTTTGTAAATTTAATTACTGCTTCCCAAATACCACATAAATTTTCAGCTCTTGGAGATATAAAATGCCAAGTAGTACTAAAGTTAGCTAAAACTTCAGCAATTTCTTTACTTATATTAGTTACTTTACTTATATTATTACTTATATTCGAACAGTGGTAGAGCCACGCGGCAGCTTTGCTGTTGCACGTATGGGCCGGCTCAAACCGGGGTGGTACCACGACCTCACAGAATACCGGCGTGAAGTGGAAGCTCTGCTTCCGCGTTTCGTCTGGTGAGTGCAGGTGGCCGGAGGCCCAAATCCCCCCCCCCCCCATCAACATGGTAGCGGAATTAAATAATGATAGACTACCCCAGGAGGGTACCAGCACCCCTGGAGAATCCCTCGCTGAGCATCCACGACCATGTTTCTCCACTTCTGAGCGTGGGAGCTCAGGCTGCCCCGCGTATTCTGGGGGGGGGGGGAGGCAAAATTCCGCTCAAGACTACAACTGCTCGGGGCAAACGGAGCAACAAGACCAAGGCGACCCCTGCCACGCTGTCCGTGAATTTCTGCAATATCAGGGGACTTCACTCTAACCTAAACGCCGTCCACTACCATCTCGAGACGGCGAGGCCGGCTCTGCTCTTTCTGACCGAGACGCAGGTGTCCTCTCCGGCTGATGTCTCGTATCTCTCCTACCCGGGGTACAAACTGGAACACTCCTTTGTGCCTCGGGCTGGAGTTTGCGTTTACGTCAGAGAGGACATCTGCTCTCGACGCCTCGGCAGACTTGAAGGTTAGGACCTGTCCATCCTTTGGCTACGCGTAGACAGCGACGACCATCCGCGCGTCTACGGGTGCCTCTATAGGTCCCATAGCGGTAATGCCGAAACAGACCGACTATTCGACCACGTCCAAATGGCTGCAGATTCGTTGCTACAGTAGATCCCCTCCGCAGAGATCGTAATCCTCGGCGACTTTAACGCCCATCACGCAGAATGGCTTGGTTCACGTTTAACCGATCATGCGGGGAGATCTGTTCATGATTTTGCCTTGGCATATGGTCTGACACAACTGGTTACTTCGCCTACGCGGATTCCAGATGTGGAGGATCATGCACCTTCCCTGTTGGACCTTCTGCTGACCTCTCACCCGGACGGATATCAGATTTCCGTCGACGCCCCTCGGACCATTGTCTGGTCCGGAGTGTGGTGCCACTCACGCTGAAATCGCGGTTGCATTCTGCAGGCTGCCGCCGTGTTTGGCACTATAGGTCAGCCGATTGGGATGGGATGCGGTCTTTCTTTGCATCCTACCCTTGGGGGCGGGTTTGCTTCTCGCCGGATGATCCCAACGTTGTTGCGGATTCTGTTGCTGGTGTGGTACTTCAGGGTATGGAACTTTTTATTCCTTCCTCTGTGGTGCCCATTGGAGGCAAGTCTCAGCCATGGTTTGGTCGCTCCTGTAAAATAGCATCATGCTATAAGCAGGAGTGCTACCAAGCCTGGGCTGATGCATCAGCGTCCCGGGATGTAAACGTCTCCGAGTGCTGGGACAGACTTGTGTCTGAAGTCGAGTCTCTGCTGGACAGAGTCTCGGATTGGGGGCGACTAAATCTAGTCCAGTTTAACCCCCAGAAGACACAAGTTTGCGCGTTAACCGCTAAAAAGAACCCCTTTGTCGTATCCCCTCAGTTTCAAGGCACTCCCCTTGTTGCCTCAGCCAGTATCGGAATTCTCGGCGTCGACATATCGAGTGACGTGCAGTTTCGTGGTCACTTGGAAGGGAAGGCCAAATTGGCCTCTAAAAAAGCTTGGCGTGCTCAGCAGAGCGGGACAGTATTTCATGCCGGCACACCGCCTGCAACTTTACAAGGCGCAGGTTCGGCCGCACATGGAATACTGTTCCCATCTCTGGGCTGGGGCTCCCCAGTACCAGCTTCTTCCACTTGACCGCATCCAGCACAGAGCGGCTCGAATCGTCGACGACCGAGTGCTTTCCGATCGGCTCGATTCACTGGCGCTGCGAAGAGATGTTGCATCTCTGCGTATTTTATCGCATCTATCACGGGGAGTGCTCTGAGGAATTGTTCGGATTAATCCCAGCCGCCAAATTTCGTGAACGCACTACACGTCAAACGTCCCGATACCATCCACACCATCTGGATGCTTGGCGGTCCACCACTGTACGTTTCACAAGGAGTTTTTTTCCACGTACAACCTCTCTGTGGAATAGTTTACCACCGGCGATTTTTCCGGACCGATACGACCTGGGGACCTTCAAGAAAAGAGCTTACTCCTTTCTAAAGGGCCGGCAACGCACCCGCAATTCTCCTGGTGTTGCGGTTGATCATGGGCGGCGGTAGTCACTTAACATCAGGTGAGCCACATGCTCGTTTGCCCCTTCTTCTATAAAAAAAAAGCCACTCCTTTTTTGAAATATATCTTAACTGTTTAATAAAATCATGCCGCACCGATAAAATTTGAGCCATTGAACCCTACTAATTTTTGAAATGTAACAAATCTTTGAAACGTTGCTAAAATGCCTGTGCTGTTAAACCCGTCATTGCTCTCGATATTACACAGTTTTTTAATCATGCATACGAATACACAAATGTAAGCCTTGAAAGTCTTACGTCCCATGCCCTTTGACGTTCTTATCTGTATAAGACCACCATAATCAACGCCAGCATTTTGAAATGCTCTCGCAGGATTAACTCTGCAAGGAGGTAAGCGGCCCATAATTTGTTGAGATGTCTTACCCTCCTGGGTAGTGTTCTATTTAACTCCGACCATATTAGAGGGGGGGGGATTAGGCCTCCGGCCACCTGCACTCACCAGACGAAATTTAGAAGCAGAGCTTCTACTTCACACTGGCTGCCGCGTTGGCTCTACCACTGTTAAATTTTTTATCTTTCATTTCAAAATGTGTGGTAATGCATTACTTTAACTGATTTTACTGCGCACAATGTGCACACATTCGTAAGGATTGATAGGCGAAAACGTTGTTGCCCATAAATCACATTCAATTTGGGATACTTTCAAAAAGTAAAAGCCTTATTTACTCGTACTTTCAAAATTTATATATTCAAACTTATCTTTAAAATTTGGCTACTCTTTGAAAAATAAACCTTTATTTCTCATTACTGTAACATTTAAGAATCGTCCATGCTTCTGTGTAATTATCACCAGTTATAGAAAATTGCCTCAACAAAGCTCCTGCTTCTGCAGTTGAGCTAGTCATGAGGTTGATTTTTGCACATTTTCTAGAGACTGATTTTTATGAATAAATCGTGAAATGATTGCCGTTCTGTGTTAGTATAGGTTTTATTTACTTTTTCATATATTTCTAATCAAATCGATATCAATTAGCTTGTTTTCTCTCAAGATTTAAAAACGATCCGTCCGGGGCAGCATTAGCGCGGGGAGGTACATATGTTTTGATTTTCATATTGACAGTAACATTAAACGTACTATCAAATCTGATGTAGTGACGGGGGCGGTCCTCTACGTGTTCACAGACTGCAGACTTTCCGGAGCGTCGTTTCTTCACATCAGCTATGTGTTTTTTAATGCGAGTCTTTATTGATCTTTTTGTTTTTCTTATGTAAGAGATACCATATTCACAATCTAGTTTGTATACTCTTACATCTTGCAGAGGGAAATTATTAATTAAAATTAAATATTATAGGAATTTAATTATATATTATTATTAAAAATTATTATATTAAATTATTATTATTATTAATTACTTCACTAATGGTAAAAACTGACTAATCTTTTTCGGCGGCTTGAAGTATGTTATTACGGCCCTGAGCTACCCTGACAAAAGCCGATCGGGACTAGGGACTATTAGTGGTCCAATTCGACGGGTAACAAAGGGGAGGGTCCAAGACCTATGGATAATTAAACTATAACGGCTGACAAAGAAGCAAGCAATATTTACCGATTACCGGGGGTAGGGTTAACCACAGGGCATAGTCAGGTGAAAGGTGATGTGAATGTAAGTGGTGTTCAGTATTGTATTTTATGTGTAACCTGACATCCCCGCTGATCCTGGACAGCAGATCCCAAGGCGTTGCCTCTCTCCAAATGTGGGATCCATCCAAGGGGCGTACACTTTTATATTAGTTTATCACTTTATTGTACATTTAATTAACTTCAAGTTCAACCAAATCAACGTTAATCGACGCTAAACAAGTGACACGCGGTACAACTTATGGACGGTTGGTCAAAGTTCAATGTCCCAGGTTCACGTAGCACAAAACTACTAACTCGTCGATGCAATCAACTGCATAAAGGTTGCTTTAATAACTACAAATTCCAAGTAGGTCTCTGGTCACGTAACACGTTCAAAACAGACAACTAAATTAGAGGCGGTCAAGTCTTGACCCACATGTTCAATAGTAAATCCAAAATCGCGCGCACAATTAACATAAGCCTTAGGCACTCAAGTCAACACCTGCCGCGCACGACCAATACTTAACACGGTTACAAAACAATTATATTATTTCGGCATCGTTATCACGGAAACTTACAAATATAAGAGAACACAAAGACTCAACGTATAATCGACCCGGGCTTCGCGCAAACAAACTAAAGAAATAAGCCACGTTATCACGGATATATACGATAACACGATGCGGCAGTCCTTTCGACGCAAAAGTATATCAACTCGCGATCCCTAACTCGACCCGAGAGGTTATGTAACATCCGACGTTCAACTGGCGCGGCGCAGCGCCAGAAGGCTCGCTGCCGGCCGCTTCCCGGCCTCGCGGCCGACTGACCGCTCGCTGTGCCCGTACGCCGCATCAAGCCTCCGCCTCCCGCGACCCGCTAACCGTTTCCTCGCCCCGCTCGAGACCCGCGTCCCGCAAGCTCCAAATGACACAACAATCGGGCGTGAACTCAGATCATATAAACAACAGGAGATATGGCAAGGAGGCGTGGCACTTGCGAACGCATCTGGCCGCAAAGCGGCCTGATGCCAGTTTCGGTAATTAGCCGAATGTCAACTTGTGACGTCTTCACTGCTCGTGATTTTTGACAAAATTCCGCGTTGTTCAGTGATTGTTTGCAAAAATAACAGCTGTATTGTGAATTACATGAAAGATGGCATCTCATTTCACACGTAAGTACTAAAATATTAATGTTTTTCTTATTCAATTTATTAAAACATTACTTCGTGGTACTAGAAACACGATGAAAAACCAAATCAAATGTTTTCATTGGAAAAAAACCATTGCTTGCTTAGTACAAATCGACCTGTGAATCAGCTGGTCTAATAGCGCAATGGATAAGTGTTTTACTGATACTCTCACTCACACGATAGTTTCGTGAAGCAGCCGCTGCCGGCTTTTGTGAGTTAGAGATGTGAATGCGTGTGTGTGCGGCTACTGCGTATCTATCAATTTAATGAACTGCATGTGTAGTAGTTGGCGAGTGGCGGGGGCAAACTGGAGACACCGGGTTCCGATACATTTTAACTACCGGGCATATCTCCTGTTGTTTATATGATCTGAGGGCGTGAACATATGTTTTAATGAACGCAGTAAGTACGCTTCAACATGTAGCCAATCTTGTCAGTGACACCTCTAACATATGGCATTACAGGAGGCACACGCTCGACTGTGGCCGGCTTCACTCATTCACTGTGATGTAGGCGCGAGACCCGAAGCTTGTTGTTATGCATAACTTGTTCGACTTGTTGGAGTTCGGTGGGGTGTTTATTGACACACATCCCTCATGCATCTGAAACAAAAATTTACCCACGGTAGCTAACTGTGAAGGATGGTCGTGACAATCACCGTTTAAATATCTATCTGTATTGGTCTTTTTTCTGTACACAGTGTGGCTTAAGGTGTCTCAATATCCTTCAGGGCGGAATACAGTAGTGCATTCGCAACCTACTCACTTATCCAGACGGATTGCTAGACGCAAATCAGGAGTCCTACCACCTAGTAAATTATGTTATCAATGTTGGGCAGATTTTGTCAAGAAGTGTGAATGTGAAGCGGGATGTTGAGTGTGAGGATGGGCTTATTGTTGCAGAGGCGGAGGAGCTGTCGCGACTGTCACCGTCGGCAGTGCTGTGGCGCGCTGCGCGTGCGCATAATGTGTGCGTGATGCGCGCCGCGCTGGCGGCCGGCGCGCCTCCATCCGCGCCGCGCGTGCGCCGCCGCACGCCGCTGCACGCCGCCGTGCTCAGCGTACGTATTGCACGCTCACACGTGCACATACACGCACATCCACAGGCATATTCGCACGCGTACACGTGCACAGACACTCACATTCACGCACACACGCTCGCTCGCACTACTCGCACAGGTACAGATAAAGATATAAGATAGTATAGGGCATTAGATTTACTACATGCTCTTCTTTCTTTTGTAGTTTTAGGATTCGTAGATATTCCAGTATAGTCGAGAGGAACCGCCCTACGTTACCGTTGTCATTAGGGCAATACAGGCACATACACACACACGCACACACGCACGCGTGCACACACAAACAAAAAAATTGGTAGAGGCGTTATGATAGTGTATTAGGTTAGCAGCACTTACAATCACGTCACATAACCTAAAAACAACTCGTATTTTTGTAAACATATTCTACTTGTCCGCAAGTCGATCAATTATCCTTTCCTTAATTTATGAATTGTGTTTTTGAAACATTATTTTAAATTTCGGTAACGGTGGCCAGTCTTAAAGTTACCAAAATGTATGTGCAAGCGCAGGTGCACTCTCTAATTCCTCACTCTCATTGTTGGATAAGACGGCGATCGGACACTTTCGGAGAGAGATCAGATGCAGAACCAACGTCTTTAGGAGATTACCGAAGCACGGGGTAAAACACCCTGAACCCGAACTCGAAACCAACGGGGCAGTCACGATGTTGATAAACGAGTTGTGATGCTTATTTTAATAAACACAAAATTGTATATCCAGGGTTCTGTGATGGCGTGTTCGTTTCTATTGCTGAACGGCAGTAAGCTCAACGCGCAGGACGAAGATGGGAAAACTCCGCTACACCTCGCCACTGAAGCAGGTCACACTGGACAGGTGACGATGATGATATTATCATGACAGTTTCTATTATGGTGTTAATTTCATCGCTAACCGTTGGAAATTATTAGCTGTTTTATTTTTATACAGCAAATCTAAAATGCAAAGACAAACAAATGCGATAACAACAAAAGCACAATTGGATAGTACAATTTTTCAGTGATATATTATGACCATAGCAACAGGATGAACATATTGTAACTGTCGTTACCATCCATTTTCTTCTTTATCAGCTTGTCGAAATATCCATTACACCATATTATCCTGTGGGTGTCGTAATAGGCGACAGAGGAAAACTGAAACGCCCATTCGGCTGCAGTAACTTTCTTAAAACACTCGAAAATAATTTAAAAAAAACAACGTTGTTACAAACCCACTTACCAAGACTAGTAAGTAGTAAAGTAAAGTAAAGTTACAGTTTATATAAGTCCCGCTGCTGGGCACAGGCCTCCCCTCCTTTCTGAGCATTGAAGTAATATGTACTTACGTACTAGAGCAGCTATCTCAAACAAAAAATGTGCGCTACTCTGTGTTCGCGCGGTTGGTTTTTTATCATAGAATAAACATAGGTAGAATGACCCGTAGGTAATAGTAGATTGTATTGTTAAATAGGTAAATAAATCGAGAACAATATTTAAATTTTGTCATCTATTATGTAATATTATATTTGTTTATTTAATATAATATTACATAATATTATATCACAATTACATTTTAATGATATTTTTATCTGAATATTTTAGGGTACTTTTTTAATATTAACATAACATTTAAATGACAAATATATTTATTTAAATTAGAATAAGAGTCGTTCATAAATGCTGGGCACGCGAGAGTTAAAAATGGACGAATTTATACCACTAGTTTTTACATTTGACTTTGATGTGGAAAGCTAAAAAAATAGAATAATAAGCAGATTTAAACATGAAAAAATTTGCCTAATTATAATAACTTATATATGTTTTTACAAAAAAATGTGTATAATAATATATTCGTCCTATACTTAAGTACCCACAGAAATGTCGCATCTGAACATATTAATTTCGTAATCTATTCCATGACACGAGATGGCGTCTTAGGAATAATTTGTTTCATTATTAATCTATAATACTTTTTTAGATTAAGTATCTTATTAACCGATGAAAAGTAATTCCTTGGTTTTTACTGACATTTCTTGAATTATTTGTGCAATATCTAAGTACACACGACGGCATATTTTTATTAAGAGATTTTTTTTAAATCAACAAAACACGTGACAACTCTACAAGCGCCTAGCGACTGACTGATTAAAGTGCGGTGTATGCACCGCAGCTGAATGGAACAGAGTAGCTGAATGCAGTGTCGCCTCTAGTACGTAGTACATAATAGCTCAATGTTTCTGAGAGGGTTTTAGGGCAAGGAAGTGTCCGCCGCGCAGCCCCAATGCGTGTTGACGAATTTCACATATCTTCGAAATATTTTTTTTCTCTTATTCCTCAGACATGCAGGTTCAGACACCCTCACGATGTTTTCCTTCACCGCCGAGCACGTGGTAAATCAGCACTTAAAATTGCTATTAACAATTTCATTGGTGCCGGCGGGGATCGAACCCGGGTTACTCGCGTTCTGTTATATTTACAGCGAGCGTTGACCATCTAAGCTACCACGGCTCTACAGTAACTATACCATAATCGTTTCTGTGATGCGATCTATGCGGGAGGCCTACGGTCAGCAGTGGGCTTTGAATGGGCTGTAATGAATTGTCTCGTAATACACCTACGTAACATAAAGGAGTAATAGATTATATTGCTTGCTAGACTTATCTTACTTACTTATCTTCACGCACAATCCTAACGGGGTAGCCAGAGAGAACAGATCGCCAAGTGTCACGATCCTTACATACCTCTTTCGCTTCTTTCAGGTTCATTAACTTCTTCATACATGCACGTCTAGGTATCCGAGTACTCTTGACCTTCCCCTCTTCGAGCAATTTGCTCACATGGTCTTCGAACGAATTTAAACATTAAGTAAATAACGTTACATGACTTAGCTTGCCTTAAAACTAGAACTGACATGTTTAAAAACAAAAAAATAAAAACATTTTGAGGACATGTCTACCAACACGCCAAAAACCTTTTTAAGAGAAGGAGGGAGGGAGGAATTTGTTTTAGGAGTAGTTCAAGACGGCAATCGAAAGGTTCTTTCGCATTTTTAAGTTCGCAGTTCACATCCTTATCATAAGGCTACTGTCGCTTGATAATTTGTAAATACATCCCGTAAATGTCTACTAGTGTAACTACTGAATATACCATGGGAATGTATATATCATCCCATGGGTGTTGTAAGTGGCGTCAGAGGGGAAAAATCAGGAGACGAGCAGCAGTATCTTCATAATAACGACTAAAAATTAAAAAACTGCGGTTGCCAACCCGCTTGCCAAGCGTGACAATTATGGCAAACATCCATAAGAGACAATCTATAGGGGAGGGGCCTATGTTAAACATTGAACTTTAATATGCTATAGCGGTAACTAGATAATGTTGTCAATTTCAAATGATTTGCTTTAACATTTAATGTGTATGCGTGCCTGTTTATATATACAGCAAATTGATTATGACTTTGGCTTGGTTTCAGTGCCACTTAAATAATACTTAATGGCCCGTCAATCTTTGTTGATCTGAGTATATAATATGCATATTAATGTAACAAAAATATAATATGTAAATTATATTTTTTGTATAAGTAAATTTTATTATGTTGAAGCAGTTTGAGACTGAAGTCTGTTGCGCAAATATCTTAAACCATACCTTTATTTGATTATTTTCGTCCTATAGTCTATTTTTGTTCCAATTCCTAATTAGAATCTTTATTTATTTATTTCTAATTTCATTGCATTCCCTATAAGAAGGTTATAAAGGGCCTATAAGTATTTTCTACCAGCACTTTGTGCATTTTGTATCTTTGTCACAACCTTGAAACTATTATTGATGATTATATGCATATAACGATAGCTAAATTATTATTATATTATTTTAACTCTGGTGATATTGGTTGTAAATTACGCATATTAATTTCACGTAATTATTTTCTGTTTAAGGTGTGTCTTCTCCTACGCTACCGCGCCGACCAGTCCATAGTGGATAACGAGGGTCGCACTCCACTGGATATTGCCGTGGAACATGCTAACGCCGATATTGTCACTTTGTAAGTTATCATTTTCTTTATCAGCCGATGAATAAATATTCTGTTGCTGAGAATGGAGTTTGTCCTAGCATTAGGAAGTTTTTTAAGAAATACTTGGCACCTTTGACTTTAATGACTTCTTAAATTTACGCGAACATTACACATTGAATAAAACTATTATTTACGGATTTTATCGCGTTTAATTACTTTAATTTGTTTTTATTATTATCCCGACGTTTCGGGTGCTTTACAGCACCTATGGTCACGGGGGGGGGGGGGGGGGACTGAGATGTTTTTTAATATTAATTTTTGGTCCGATTTACGCAAAACGAGCTTATAGTATCATGAAGTCTTGCAGTGGTATGCTTGGGTTTGGGTTTAATTTTGTTGATTATAGGATCCCAAGCAGATGGTAGCACCCAACCATCTTCTCTATTGAAATTTGGATGTTTTTTAATTTCAATAGCCTCGCGTATCATCCTTGGTAGGAATCGGTGTTCTTTTGCGAGGATTTGTGGTTTATCAAATCTAATGTAATGGTGGGGACGATCTTGAACATGTTCGCAGACTGCAGACTTCCCAGGAAGTCTGCAGTCTGCGAACATCCAAATTTCAATAGAGAAGATGGTTGGGTGCTACCATCTGCTTGGGATCCTATAATTAACAAAATTAAACCCAAACCCAAGCATACCACTGCAAGACTTCATGATACTATAAGCTCGTTTTGCGTAAATCGGACCAAAAATTAATATTAAAAAAAACTGAAGGTAGCCGGACTAACTATATCATTGGGACGTCAAACATCTCAGTCCCCCCCCCGTGACCATGGGTGCTGTAAAGCATCCGAAACGTCGGGATAATAATAAAAATAAATTAAAGTAATTAAACGCGATAAAATCCGTAAATAATAGTTTTATTCAACCTTTTACTTTGTTTGTTTGTTTGTTGTTGTTGTTATTGTTTTTGGCATCTTTATTTTTGTTGTTTACTTAAAGTCTTAACTTATTTCAAAGAGGCTTGAATTGGATTGAATCTGATGATTAAGGATAACTTATTCCATCTCTGTCATAAAAATTTGTACAATTTCCAGGAAAAAAAATTATATCAAGTAGAAGCTGATGCCTCCATTCAAATTTATTGGCTGAGGCCCCATCCATTTCTCGGAAACAGGCTTATGTTCAAACTATTTAGTAATACCACGAGTTAGTAGAACTGCCTTGAAACATTGTATAAATCATTATTTTTATCCTTTGTAAAACAATTATAAATTCATCGATGTTTTTAAATGTCGGCTCAATCGAAATACATGGACGACATCACGATACCCTTAATATTCTAAATTAAACGCGATAAAATCCGTAAAAGTAGTTCTAATCAATATGTAGTGTTCGCATAAATATAAGAAATCATTCCTTTAATATTGTTTAAAATAGTGACTGTACAAAGTAGATGAAGCTGTCCATAGTTAATACAAAATTAAATAAAGTTTTTACATTAAAAAGAAAATCGAAAAATCCCTACCACTCCTAGTTTTTACTGCTGAATACATATAAAGAAATTGTATTATCGTTTCGTTGACATTTACGTCATACCTGTAATTTTAACAAAAAATATAGATGTTTTTATATAACTTTTCTAATCTTTATAATATTTACTTTATTAAAAATAGGTTCCTGATATGAAAATTTTAATAAGAGAAAATCTAAACTGATTTTTTAAAAATCAAACCTTGTTAAACGGCAACAAAATTTACACAAAAGAAGATCCGAGTACTTAATTTTGAATAGCGACACCGTATATGTCTATTTTAGAAGATTACTAGGTAAATTCAGACAGGCTTTCACACGGGACTCAGTGACATACAGTGCCTATGTGTCTATAAGATTAAACCTGTTAATGAAGTAGTCGTGTCCAGTTAGAATTATTCTAATAGGTAGTTCGAATTTATGGGTTTTATTTTAACGGCCTTACTAATAAAGATTTACACACGACATTTGACAGTCCCGTTGTATACATCTGTTATAAGGAGTGTTTAAATTATATGGGAAATTACGCAACCGTTATACAGTTCTCAACCTTTGTTTAAGACGTGTATAACCTCAATTTGACGTGTGGCGTTTTTGAAAATAATGGATTATTTACAATATTTCGAAAATTTTGATGAAATCGACTGTTAGCAACCACCAAGAAAAAGAAAACTTTACAAAAAACGTCGATCCCTTTAAAAATTTCGAATGAAATATAGTTCAGTGAACTATTTTTTTCATATATATTTTATATGAAAAAATAGTTCAGTTAGTTCAACGTGACATGGGACTACAAGCTACTGGTGACGGGCTGTCTGTAGAACTTCAGGTATGTACTGCACTCAGGATGTGGGCTAGGCAAGAAGTTCAAGATGATGCAGCAGACATTCATGGACTTAGTCAACAGTCCATCACGAATATTTGCCGAAGAGTAGCTCTTGCTTTGGCAAGTAAAGCTACAGAACTTATATGCATGCTTAGTACTTTAGAAGAGCAAGAACAAGTGGTTTCTGGATTTAGAAACATTTAGGCTTTAAGCAAGCAATTGGTGCTATTGATTGCACACACATAAAGATTAAAAAAGTCGGAGGCGATAGTGCTCAATATTATATAAACAGAAAGGGGTTTTCATCCTTAAATGTCCAAGTAGTTTGTGATGCTCAATTAAAGTTCAGGGACATAGTGGCACACTGGAGGGGCAGCACACATAAGCATAAAGCATAAACACTCACGCCTGTCACCCAGGGGGGTAGGCAGAGACTACGGACTTCCATTTGATACGATCCTGACATACCTCTTTCGCCTCCTTTACATCCATATATCTACGCATACATGCTCGTCGGTTAAGGCTACTTTTAACGTGCCCCATTTTCAAAATATCGCCAATTTGGTCGATAAACTTTTTTCTAGGGCGTCCCTTCCCGACTCGGCCGTTCACATCTGCCATATAAATTTGCTTTGTCACTCTTTCCTCATTCATTCTTTCTACATGACCAAACCACCGAAGCATTCTTTTCTTAATCCTGGTCACAACATCATTTTGCATACCACATTTATCTCTTATCATGCAATTTCTCACCCTGTCATTCAGATTCAACCCTAGCATACTCCTTAAAGACCGCATTTCTACAGCATTTATTCTACTTTCGTGCTTCTTCTGCCACACCCAGCTTTCACTACTATACATTAAAGTAGGGACTAACACAGCATTATGAATTTGGCATCTTACACACTTACAAATTATGGCAGCACACATGATGCAGGAATATTCAGAGAAAGAATCCGACAACGATTTGAAAATGGGGAATTTCATGCTCGTTTACTAGAAGCTTCTGGCTACGGTTTGACAAATTATTTGTTTACACCAGTTCAGAATCCCCGTATCTCTAAGGAAGAATCTTACAATAAATCACATATATTTGACGACTCCGTGGCGCAGTGGCTTAGCAATGAGTGGCTGCGCTGGGGGTCGCGGGTTCGAATCCCGCACGGAACAAGTATTTGTATTGCTTACAATTAATTGTTCCGGTCTAGATGTTTGTCCTTGTGCAATTTATGTTTGTAAACTGCCCCCACGATACAGGAGAACATCCTAGGGTAGGGGTTAACGTTTTATAATTAAAAAAATTATTGACAAGTACAAATACAATTGAAAGGTGTTTCGGAGTTTGGAAACAGAGGTTCCGATGTTTATTACTTGGATTGTGTCACTGGAAAATGTAAAATTATACATTGTTGCGCTTGCAATATTACACAATATTGCCGTTAAAATGAATGAAGGTATTGATTTTCTTGTTCATCAGTTATATCTGAAGATAATGGTAACCAACAAATGCTAAGGGAAGGTCTTGATAGCCGATCTTGTCAAGAAACAAGGAGATTATTCATTGAAACACACTTTTAGTTACAAAAATGCTTTATTAATAAATAAAATAAAAAATAAATAAAATAAGTGACATCCATTATATTAAATTTAATTTCTTCTAATTTCATTTAATTTAATTCAAATCGATCTAATCTACCTATCTAATTTAATTTAATCTTATTCAATTTAATTAAATTCAATTTAACTTAATTTGATTGTTTAACATAAAAAAAAAACTATTAATTTAACATAAAAAAGGTAAAAGGTATTTATTGTGGCAATTTTGATTATAAAAGTAAATTTTCTAATTTAAGTTTTTCGACACGAAGCTGCGTTTTTTCTTTTTCCAATAATATTTTTTGGATTTTTAAATTGTATTCCTCTTTAATATAATTTTGAACTTCTATCATATTTTTCATTTTTAAATCATGTTCTTCCTTTATGCAACTGACAAGAACATGATTGCGCTCTCTGATTAATTCTCTTTCTTGTAATAAACACGTTCTTATCAATCACAAATCAGTAATCCCATTATTTTGTTATACTTAAATTAAACTTTTTATTAAAATTAAATTAAATTTTACCTCACGTTTGGTTGTGTGTATATAATCATTCATATGATTGAATGTTAATTTCCGTTTTGTTCTTCTATCTATTTCAGTTTGCATCTCGAAAATTAGTGGTGTAATATTCTGGAATATTAACAAAAGTCATTCAGAATTCAGAAGATATTAATCAAAGTAAATTCAATCAACAAATTTAAATTAAGAAACCTCTTGCATATTACTATTATCTCCTGGAATGATAACATACTCTTGTGATATTGTATTAACCAAGGACTCATCCTGACTTTGAATCTCTATATGCTAAAATAAAATAGACAAACGCACTGAAGTCATAATCATAAGATATAACATACTCATTCTAATACTATACATTGTGTTTGTGCTAAGACAAAATAATTACAAAAATATAATATGAGCTTGCTGTTATGCTGTCACTGTCTAAGACATTGGAATTCGTCTCAAATTCCTGTGGAATATGCTCAAAATGTCAATGGTTTCCAGGTCTGGGCTAAGAGGTTATGGCCCTCCACAATGTCTTTACTTGTGACATGTTTTTTTTTTGCATCAAGTTTCATAGTGCGCCACTGTTGCTTTGCTTCAGCTAATTCTCTTACCCGGCTATTTAATTCACTAAAACTGAAAATGTTTCAATCACAATATGCATAGTTTAATGTATACAATATAAATACAATTTACGGGTAAGGTATACAATTAAGTCTCCTGAATTAGGGGGTGGGGTGGGGTGGGGGGAGGGGGAGGAGTTGTAGAGTAACACCTACTTCCCCTACCTGCCGGACGTGCTTAGTTTTTTTATATATTTTTAAAAATCTCATTTTGAGGTTATGTTTCGTAATTTTTATGATAATTTTGACCCGATTTATGGGGAGAGAGAGTTGGGGGACGGAAGCCCACACGTCACATAACGTGGTGCAATTGAGGGAAGCCCGGTCGACGGAGCCCTACTCTGAGTAGTTGTTTAAAAAATAACCACGAAGGGAATGGCATGGATGTAGAAAAATTAGAATTTTCCTACATCCGAAAAAAAAATAATCCCAAACACTTTCTCCAAGCCATAAAAAAGCTTTTTCTCACTACGGTGTCCAAAAAATGTATTTGCATAATCTTTGAACACTAAAAAATCGCCAATGCAAATTAGGTGCGAACAAACTGAGAAGGGTTGAAACGGCCAGTAATTCGCCGCCACAAATATTCCAGTGTTCACCGAAATTCTAAAATTCGAAAGCAACGGCGTGACGTAAAGCTGTCAACAAAATAGTCGGCCTAGCGATTAATTTTACACATTTTAAATCGATTCAAATCGAAATTGGATGAATCGATTCACAAAAAATCAAAATCTTAAAGACCATTTCGCAAAGATCGATCTTTTTTTGATTTGCGTTAAGATAGATAATATTACCGTGGTTAAGAGTTTATATTTACAATATCAAAAGATAAAATAAAGTACAGATAACATTGAATGATTGAATTGAAAAACTGTCATTCCCTACGAGTTGGAGTACATTCAACTTGTAAATAATTTTATGGTTCTTAATAAAACAGAAAAAGATTCGATATCGATTCTCTAGGGTGAAATATCGATTCACTAGATCGATTCAGTACTATATATCGATATGACATTGATAGATGTAACGTCAAAAACGTGAGAATATTTAATTAATTAGTCATTTACAAATATTTTTAAAAAATAATTAAAAATACTTCGACGCTGCTCCGGCAGCAAAATTCGCGTGGGGGTGCTTCAGATAAACCCCCTTGACCCCTCCACAGTGACAGAATCCTCAAATTCAGGCGACCTAATTGTAAACCCAACCCCAACTTACACAAAACTAACAAATAATAAACATTAAAAATATTTAAATATATATTTACACTAAAATAAAAACATATTCATTATAAAAACATGAAATTAAAGTATCTTACATATACTATAATAATTAACAACTTATCAAATTATACCTAACAGATATCTTAACACATCTAGTTGGTTAACTAACACTTATGGGTTTACACTTGTACTGGGAGTTTGACTGCACTTTGATTTTGGATGTACATATTAGTAAGCGCCTATGAAATATTCTTACATTACCGTCTGCTTTTTTAGTATTTTGTGCAAGATTTTATATTGATATTTATACCTAGTTATTTTATGCCTACTCAAAGCACATGTTACTTTTATTCTTTTGTTTCTCAGTAAGTGAGTGTATATTCTATTTAGAATTTAATTTCCTAAACCACAATTTGCATACAATAAATATGAAACAAAATTCATAAAATGTAGTATTTTACTAACCTTTTCATCACTTTCTGCCAAACAATGGTCTTACTTTTATTAGTATTTGTAGGTATCCGTGTTTTTATTTTCTATGATGGATACAAACTCCTTCATACATCTTTTTAATAAACTCTGAAAGATAATATAAATATACAAAGTTCGATTACAAATTGTGACCATATTAGGAAACAGTAGTTGTAAATGTTTTTTTCTAGTAAATTATATCTTACCTTTTCTAATGCATCCCAATTTTCAGACCGTTTTCTTTTGACAAAGTTTACATTACTATTAGCCATTATTACACAATTATTGCGATGTTTTCAAAATATAGTAGCTACTAACGAATTATAAAACCCAAACAACAAATTGACGATTGAATTGCAAACTTTCTAAAAGTTACTTTCGTAAACTTATTCCGATGATAAATATGGCTTTGTCAAAATAATGTTTAGTTTTTATCGCCTAAAAACATTAGATTATATCTAAATTCAATTAAACAATGTTTTGGTATAAATTTATGTGTTATTAATTACATAAAGAGAATTTATAAGCTGTTTATGTGTTTTCAAAATGTCTCTACAATTTGACAGTTGAGTTTCAAAACGTTTTTGATGAATGTTGCCAATGGTTTTTGTTTTAGCGAGTTTATAACTATACAACGCTTATACACCCGTTATTGGTAAAGAGCGTGTGTAACTCTTACCCATAGCTTAAACAACGTAAAAGTATACGGTTGTTAAACAGATGTTTTAGATGTTTTTATTCATAGAATACTATAATACATACATAATAGAAAGGGGGTGTGGACGGAGCCCGTGTCACTAAAATGCCACAAGACGTCAATTCACACGTATAAATGTCAACACGAGATGTGTTTTGACGTTACAATCGTTTCCAAATTTCGCATGCAAATTATTTAGAAAATGCCAAATTGTTATTTACAAATAAATATGTAAAAATCCGTCTGTCAACACAGCGAATAAGGTTTGTAGTAGTGATTAACTGATAATACGACGTAATTGCATGTATGTGTGCTCCCGGCGACGCCGAACCTCGGTACAAAATAAGGTTGACAGCCATTCTATTGTGTATTATAGTATTCTTTTTTATTAGGAAGACTGTAAGAGTTCTCTCCATTATTTGTACTTGCTTGAATAATAGGTTAAGGTTACCTTAGCGACCTTATCCCAGCAATTTAAGTAGTTAATGTTCAAAGTTACAAGAGTTGTGATAAATATTAGTGATGCAATGAATCATAACGGAAGTGGATATCAATAGTATATTTTTACGGAAGCGGATGAGATAACGAATAATAAATAGTTTAAAAAACAATTATGGATAAGAATTGTTTATGATTACCTATTTTTTACTTAAATAAATACCCAAAATTTAATTAAGATTAGTTATTGTCAATCTCGCCATGTGGAGGGACACACGGGTAGAGGAAGGCCGAATAAAAGATGGATCGATTGTGTGAAGAGTGATATAAGAATGAAAGGAGTAGGTATGGAAATGACGGCTGATAGAGAGGAATGGAACAAGAAGATTTACTGCGCCGACCCCAGATAATGGGAAATGGTCTAGAGAATGATGATGATATTGTCAATCTCGCTATTTCTAGAAAGCTTCAACGCTTTAGATATAAAAATGAGAAAGCAGATCCAGAAGCTATGTAAAAAAGTGCGGAGCTCCCGCTGTTAGAATAGAAGGAAATGTATGTTTTTTTTCTGTGGATGCTGTGGCCTGTAGACATCTATACTCAATTAAGAATCAATATGAAGTTGCGTTGTCACCTCTGACGACTAAGCTACATCTTAGTCCTCAGGGTTGATGTCTCGATTTAAAAAGGGTCTCCGATTCTCTATACTTACTATACGGAACACAGCTGTTCTTTTGCGTTGGTATTTTATGAGAGGGTGCTGCTTCCCCGGTCAAGCCACTCTATTCGTGCTACAAACATAAAGCTGTAGCCTGCCTTTACCACTTATAACACACAACAACACAATGAGGATAATATTTATTAGTTTATAGTTTATATTAATAATGTCCTCCCGACCGAATTTCGAACACGGCGGCCAGTCTCAACAGAGACTAGCCATCGGCGCAGGACAGGGTTTAGCGCCTAAGTCTATATACATGCACAGGTGCACTCTCACTCTTATAATCCGATGGGACGGTAAACTGACACGACCGGAGAGAGAGAGAGCTCAGGACCAACGGCTTTACGTGCTTTCCGAGGCTCGGGCGTGAGACACCGACAACTTCCTGACTCCGGGAGCTACTGAGAATTTCTTGACGGAAAAACTCAATAATTGATTTTTTGGATCGACCCGGAACTCAAACCCAGGACCTCATGACCAGTAGTCGCACTACTACAACCACTAGACCAACGAGGCAGTCAGTTTATATTATAAGATTATGGGTAATTGTGCCGTAGTTGACCGTTCTCTCGTTGTGCAGGTTGCGGCTGACGAAGCTGAACGAGGAGATGCGCGAGAGCGAGATGTCGTCGAACGACGATACGTACAACGAGGTGTTCCGCGACTACACGCAGCTGGCGCACTCACACCCCGAGCGCCTCGTGCGCGCGCGCCTCAACAACAACGACGGTACCGCCCCCACGCTGTTGTCCCTCTCCCGCTCCCTCTTCCTTTCTCTTTCATTATTACTCATTAGGAATAGCAACACTACACGCAGCTGGCGCACTCACACCCCGAGCGCCTCGTGCGCGCGCGCCTCAACAACAACGACGGTACCGCCCCCACGCTGTTGTCCCTCTCCCGCTCCCTCTTCCTTTCTCTTTCATTATTACTCATTAGGAATAGCAACACTACACGCAGCTGGCGCACTCACACCCCGAGCGCCTCGTGCGCGCGCGCCTCAACAACAACGACGGTACCGCCCCCACGCTGTTGTCCCTCTCCCGCTCCCTCTTCCTTTCTCTTTCATTATTACTCATTAGGAATAGCAACACTACACGCAGCTGGCGCACTCACACCCCGAGCGCCTCGTGCGCGCGCGCCTCAACAACAACGACGGTACCGCCCCCACGCTGTTGTCCCTCTCCCGCTCCCTCTTCCTTTCTCTTTCACTATTACTCATTAGGAATAGCAACACTACACGCAGCTGGCGCACTCACACCCCGAGCGCCTCGTGCGCGCGCGCCTCAACAACAACGACGGTACCGCCCCCCACGCTGCTGTCCCTCTCCCGCTCCCTCTTCCTTTCTCTTTCATTATTACTCATTAGGAATAGCAACACACTACACGCAGCTGGCGCACTCACACCCCGAGCGCCTCGTGCGCGCGCACCTCAACAACAACGACGGTACCGCCCCCACGCTGTTGTCCCTCTCCCGCTCCCTCTTCCTTTCTCTTTCATTATTACTCATTAGGAATAGCAACACTACACGCAGCTGGCGCACTCACACCCCGAGCGCCTCGTGCGCGCGCGCCTCAACAACAACGACGGTACCGCCCCCACGCTGCTGTCCCTCTCTCGCTCCCTCTTCCTTTCTCTTTCATTATTACTCATTAGGAATAGCAACACTACACGTAGCTGGCGCACTCACACCCCGAGCGCCTCGTGCGGGCGCGCCTCAACAACAACGACGGTACCGCCCCCACGCTGCTGTCCCTCTCCCGCTCCCTCTTCCTTTCTCTTTCATTATTACTCATTAGGAATAGCAACACTACACGCAGCTGGCGCACTCACACCCCGAGCGCCTCGTGCGCGCGCGCCTTAACAACAACGACGGTACCGCCCCCACGCTGTTGTCCCTCTCCCGCTCCCTCTTCCTTTCTCTTTCATTATTACTCATTAGGAATAGCAACACTACACGCAGCTGGCGCACTCACACTCCGAGCGCCTCGTGCGCGCGCGCCTCAACAACAACGACGGTACCGCCCCCACGCTGCTGTCCCTCTCCCGCTCCCTCTTCCTTTCTCTTTCATTATTACTCATTAGGAATAGCAACACTACACGCAGCTGGCGCACTCACACCCCGAGCGCCTCGTGCGCGAGCGCCTCAACAAACACGAAGGTACCGCCCCCACGCTGCTGTCCCTCTCTCGCTCCCGCTTCCTTTCTCTTTCATTATTACTCATTAGGGAAAGCAACACCATCTGTATAGCGTTGTTCCATTACACATAAGGGATGTGGGAAGTAGATGAAAAAACTTTAGTAGTTAGAAGAAGTTTACTTAATATAAATGTATTGACATCGATTATGCCCATATCTACTTGCCGCGTTCCTACAAAATTCACCATTATCACGGACAAGATATACAGCATCTCAATTGTTTTATGTACCTCTTGCTGGTACACGTTACTCATCTTATTTTATTGTTAAAACTAAAAATGACGTTAATGAGATCTTTAATCCTTGTAATTATAAATAAATTTTGTTTCAGGTGAACAATCGAGTGAATGATATATGGAAATAAAACTGCAGTGTTTTGGCTGTGGTGGCACGGATGAATAATACCGGCCGGAGATACCTACTCACCGCTACGTCTCCCGAATTGCGTTGAGGATGAGCGCCGTTATATATGTAGTAATGTGAATTCGAAATAGTGTGTACTGTTTTGACGTCCATTATGACGTAATAGTTCCACAGGCATCTCTATATTCGAATCGACAAATGTTTAATCTCTGTATGTGTTTTACTGAGATAAATCTATCCAAATCAATAGTTAATTTTCTATTTGATCACGTAAAAAATTTTAGTCAGTTAAACTTTATGAATTTTGAAAGTCTCTTGTTGCTAGTGAAATTTTTATCGAATATTACAGTTTGCTGTCGTTAACAAATTTATAAAAATCGTAGGCCCAGTTGTATGTACTATACGATACAATGTCAGCTATACGCATCGAATGGAGAAGTATTAATTATAAATTAATATGCCTAACATAATATTGTGCCAGTTTTAAAAACACTGAAGCTGAACTAAATATTACGCCAAACATTAAAATAAATTGGATATGAAAAAGTAACTAATTCGAAATGTAATCCTAACTATAGTTCCAATAATATTCCATCACTATAATAGAGCTTCCTATTTACGTTTGATATATTTTTTACTACTTTTTGTGTTCAATCAATTTTTGTGTAATTTTTTTAGATGATCTCTGTGACTTTGGAGGCTTAAAATATTTTGAACTACATATTCGTTGCCAAATTTTTGTCTATTAACAAAAATGGATCAAAATATTCACATTCACTTCAGCCAATTTATTATTAAGTAACTGTTGCGAGAATAATAATTACATTTAAGGCCATATAATTAAGCGATGATGTGATTTGCTTATAATATAAACATATACAAAATATTTAGTATACCAAAGATTTTAAAATTGAGTAAAGAAATATAAATTTAATATGTCCACAGGGGGACATGCTGTTAGTGTCACTTTGACATAAATGTCAAAATGATTGATTAACCAAATACTTTATTAAACCTTATGGTTTAATTTTCTATAGTATTTGGTTTAACCAAGCGATAAAACACTATTATTAGTGTAAAATGTTTACCACGTTATCATCAGCTTTAAATGTTGAGAATCAATTGAAAATCAAAATTTGTTTATTTATCGAACATCGACCGTTGCCTTAAAATATATTTTAATTAATAAGGCGTTTATCCGTAATGATATATTATTAGTATAAGCTGCTATTTAAATTTAATATTAATATAAGCTTTTTTAAATATCTTTTAGTACTTAAAGCCTAAAATATTTTTATGTTGCTGTCCAAAGTGCGAAATATTTCTGAGACCTTCAACGAAATATTGTCAAAAGTGAATACGACCCACTAAAACTTGAAAGTCGATGTGACCACATAACTATATTTTAACTATAACTTACAGTTTTTACGTGGCATTTAACACATTTGACATATTATATCCAATATTAATGTTTGTTTGTTCGTATTTAATGCGCATACCGTCCATCAGATTGCGCTATAACTTTATTTTTAATTTTTATAGGATAGGATGCCTCGTTTCCAGTAAATAGGGCCTCCGGTTCTCTACACTCACTATACGAAACACAGCAGCATTAAGCTACTATTTGACGCTGGTATTCAGTGAGAGCGTGGTCCTTCCCCGGTCGAGCCGACCCATTCGTGCTACAACTATACTACTAATATAGCTGCAGCACGGTTCTACCACGTTTATACGTACGTTTATATATACGTTTACACGTATAACTGTGTCAACTTATTGCTTACACTTGCGCGTAGGTTACACGTACAGTAGAATTAACCACCGCCATTACAGAAGGCGGTGCGCGTATACTACCGACAAATTTATATGAAAGTAACATATCATTCAATTTTAATGAAAGTATTATTATCATTCCTAATTAAACAATACAACTCTTCCAAATTTAAAACGATATTTTCATAATTATTTCGTCTGCGACAGCAACGCATCGGATATCGGATTAAAAATAATAGATATGTTACGTATGTACAACGGTTAGTAAAAAATATTTCTATTGTCCCCCAAAAAGTAAAAATAGACACTAATTTGTAACAGGAGGGTGTCACTGTTACAAATTAGTGTCTATTTTTACTTTTTATACCAACTCTTAACCAGATTAAATAAATGAATATTTTGTTCAATAGTAGTTCAAAGGATAGAAATCCTTGTGATATTTATTGTTATCATATTGATGGCACATTCGCATCTCACAAAAGACATTTTATTTTTACAAAAATATGACTCCTAACCACGTTTTTTTATATGCCAGTACCAGTAGCGTTTAATTTTTGTCGTCGCTAGAAAAGGTTGCGCGTTTTATTCCGTTGGTCAATTATATATATATATATAATATAATTATTCTCGTACTTTGAACAATAACATAAAAATAGGATTAAGTATCAAGGTGCGTTTAATTTATAAACGTACACGAATGTTTTTATTACATTCCTATATAATGCAGAATTTCAATTTTCTTCTAATCATTCCATATAATAATCATTATAATTCGAGTTTGCTATTCAATTATTCAATGGTTTTAATTTTTTTTCACAATTTATTCGAATCTCATAGAATGCTAGAGAGATATTTTTATATTTTTTTATTTCGAATTTATGGTCAAATAAGGTTATTACGATCGTATTATTTTCACTTGCCATTTACTCTTACACGTGATGTATATTGTGGTCTTGTTGTCATTTATGTTGTATTGAATTTCGTAATTTTTGTTACAAATGTTGTACTGTTTTGACGAGTTTACTGTTTGTATAGAGCAGAATTTCTAATTGTGCTGCTAAATTGTTGTTTGTTCTAATCTGCAAAAAAAAATGTGATTTGGTGGTGCATGGTGCCGACACGTTTTATTGTATACATGTGACCCTTAACGGCACGTGACGTATCACAGTGTAATTTCAGCATAAATATAAATAAAAATATATACCTCAAACTTTCAATAGTTACATTACACCCCAAAATGTAAATAGGTATGTTGATACACACGTAGTCTTACTTCATATTTAAAAAAGCAACACTAGAGAATTGTAACGTGTCTGATGAATGATGTATATGAAGAATCAAACCTTTTATAAATATGTAGGCCCAATGAAATATAAATAAATTCACTAAGCAGGTCATCGTAATATTCTTAATAAATAAAAAAAATCATATCAAAATACAAGCAAAGGTGATGCTCTGTCGTGCTTCCAAAATAAATCCTATTTTTAAGTGACTTTGCTTGCGTATTTGTTACTTAGAAATTATATAATTCCACAAAGAATAACCAGAAAAACCTAATCATGATCCCGTTTAGTATTAGAACAGTATGGTGTAGAGCTCATGCTGTAACCACGTTCCTAAAAAGCCGATTGAAATAAAATTGAAGTACCGTAAAACCGGCCATCATTGCCCGCAATTTTACTTAATTTTGAGATTTTGCAAAAATTATTTACCAGAACGCGTAATAAAGTTGATCAATATAGCAATTACTATTAAAAGCTTCAAATCACAAAATGTTGAGAACCTGGCTTCAACAGAATTCAAGAAAAACGCGTTTAAATAGCCGGGCTAAATTATACGCACAACCGTCCAACATTGCTCAGTCTTATTTTTTCTAAAACTATCAGTTCTAAGGCTTTGGAAATAAAATATATTATGGTAAATTATGCAAAGTTGCCATTTTTCTTGATCTAAATGTCGAAAACCTTTTATGGGCAATGTTATACTACACACCAGCTACATTTTCTTACAAACTAAAACGGTGGCTTAGGGTTGTCACATAATGTGATAAATAATAATCTTTTCATATTATAAATTTTTGTATTAAAAATCAGTCAGGTACAATAGTTATTCATTGCAGTTATAAGTATTAAGCGCTTTGCGCCCGGAAAGGTTTCCGACAAAATCTTAGAAAGAAAAAAATTTCAACGCTTCCCGGACACATATAAACAAATAACTAAACTAAGAAAGAAAAAAATAACCTATAAATATAGTGTGCAAACAAAATACTTTTACATAACACAGTACTACTCAAAAATTTTCTAAAAAAAATCAGTTGTTTCATACATTTTAATCGTGTAGTAGATATTTCAATTTATTTGTTTACACCTTATATTTTTTACTTTAACCAACAGTCTTAATAAAGGAACTTTATAAAAAATATTTGGTTGTTGTCATAGCACGTAGATATTTCAAAACTAAGTTGACTCTTAAAGTACTACTTACTACTACACAACAATAACAAAAACTATTATCACAAAAACAATAAGTTCGTAGTAAATAAGAACTTCTGAGAAGTTGTAACTTCTATAAGTTTATTAATAATCAAAATAAATGTAATCGTCATCATCAGCAAGTACAAAATCAGTTTCGGCGTCATTAATTGCTAGAAGCTCAACAGTCTTGACAATATTCTTACAGTCTATTACTTCGATATCCGGTGATTTTACTTTTATAAATTTTGAGTTGTCATTTTTGGCGACTTTTCTTAAGAAAGATACTTTTAACTTGCCATTTTTTGGCATGTCTAAAATGATTGCCACGTAATAATCAACTTTTTTTGTAAAAAAAAATATCTAACCAAAACATATTCGCCTATTTTATACTCTACAGAAACTTCTTCGCGCGTTGAACTAGTCGAGGGCCCTGGTTCTGAAAAATGATCTACTGTTACAGGAACCAGTGGTTCATTCAAACATAAATTAGGACCTGTTTTTGTGATAGTCGCTACTATGTTCTCACTGCCTATAGATAAATTAGAATCATAAGCATCTACAGGAGAACCTGGCTCATCTTGATCGGAAACGATCCCGCATATATCTGAATCACTGTGAATACTCATATCGATATCACTGTTGCTTGTTTTACTGTCTCTTCGTTTCAACTTCTTCTTTAAGCCTTTCATATTTTTTTCTTTGGAAACTTTAAAGTCTTTTCTAATTTTTTCCTTTGGTCGCAGCTTAACATTGGATGTTTTTGTTTTTTTAATTTTTTCCGCTTTTGTTGAAATGTTTCTAGACTTTTCTGTGTAAAAAGAAAAATCATTTTGTTTTGCTATCGTTTGTCTAGCTTCAATATTTTCTTTATCATAATCGCTTTGGTAAATAATATTTGACGTACGTTTTGTGGACGGTATAGTTACACAAGATACAATCTTTGGTTTTTGTTTTTCAGTCTTCAATAGGTTAGTGTTTTCTTTACACGAATCATGATTCTTTGGTTTCAAAATAATATTTGTCCGAGCACATTCACGAATGATGGTACCGCTTGAAGCATTTATTTCACATAATGTGGGTGTAATTTGTGAGAGTAAAGTTCCGTTTTTTTCGTCTAATATGTCAATTTCAGTAAAAGTTGGTAAAGCTTGATCTTCTGTTGTATGTGTGTTTAAATTGTATTCGTCATTATTTCCTATCATATCATCAATTGTATCATTTTCGTTAACGCTATTTTTGCCTGCCAAGAATGATAAAGAGAAGTTATCACAGAAGTATAGTTCGTCTTTGAATTGATCTAAAATTTTATTCTCTTTGCCGACACTTGCCGTTGAAGGTGTATCGTTCAATATCTGATTTTTAGCTTTTTTGAACAGCGGTACTTTTTATTAGAGCAGATTTGTTTTTTTGCGGGACGTTTCTTAGTGTCTTTAGTCCGGTTTTGAATATCATCAACTGTAACAGATTTTCCAGGTTCAACCACGACTTTCCTGTTCCTATTTGATGTCAATGGTTTAGACTGTCTGGTAGTTTTTAAATATTCTAATAAAGCACTGTCAATATTATGAGTATTGCCCATTTCTTCGGCAGATGCTGGGATTATTTTCAAAACTTCACGTGGATTAAAAGGGCATATCCCAGTGCCTCTAAAGCCGCTTTTTATGTTTTGTACCTCGTTCATTTCAATTGTTTTAATTAATTGCGTAAGCAATTTTGGGAAGTGGTTTTTTGTTGATTGCCTTTTGATTTGGGTTTTCCATTTTGTACTGTAATAAGATCTTGCGCCAGGCCTTTTTAAGGGGCGCAAAAAAAGCCACATCAAGGGGTTGGGTGAGATGTGTAGAATTAGGAGGAATAAACACAAAAGATATGTTGTGATCCTGACATAACTCAATGACGCCTGTAGTCATATGTGACAACTGGACAAGTTGTCACATATGACTACTTTTTTACCACTCAAACCCTCTGCCCATGTCAATACAACATTTTTAAAATAATCTTCAAATATTGTGGAATCAAACCATCCGGATGATGTTCGGTTGTATCTTGCACCACGAGGGCCTCCTTGAATCTGAAATTGATGATGAAATTGAGTTAAGGACTCGCTCAGGATATTTTACACCCCTGCGAAATATGCACTTAGAAGAACCTGGGTCGTCGCTTAGGTTAGTTTCATCTAGATTTAAAATATTAGATGGAGGAACATCTCTTACAGTTTCTTCTAAATTCTGAAAATATTCTAAGAAATCCTTTGCGCTTTTTTTGAGCCCGCGCTGTTTTAATATTTTGCGTACTTCTAACAGAAAGTTCACCTGCGTGCCGATTAAGAAAACTTGTAACCCAGTCTTTGCCTGGTGGTTTTCCAAGAAATAAATTTTCACGATTATTTTTTTTTATTTTATATTTATTCGCCGGCTGCAATCAATGCTTGAACAATACTTTTTTCCTCTTGGAAAGAGAGTCGAGTAGGAGTTCCAACATTTTTGTTATGGCACTCTTTCACTTTGTTTAGGATGGTGCGCCTAGGTATACCAAATGTTTTTTCGGCTGTTCTAGAGGACATTCTATTTTCTTTAACATTTTCTACTGCGAGGTGCAGCATCTCCTCTGAATAATTTTTATATGGCCGAGACCCGAGGACTCTGCGATTTCTTCTTTTAATAGGCTTTCCCATACTGCAAAAAACATACTAAACTATAGTTTCTGTTTTTCAACAAAGTGACTAGTTATTGAGACATAGACACTACATATTTTTTGTATCGTATTTATCTTTCTAGCCAAATCATCTTACAATCCATTTACTGTTTTTTTGGCCGAACAAACTGTTGTCGTAACATATTCATCATTTTCCCGCATCACACGTCCACACCATGACAATCATACAACCGTAAATATAAAATAAAAACAGATTTTATATTTAGTATGGGTGCCAACCCTAACACTATTTTTGAAGTGGGCAATGTTGTCACTCCTGTGTTCACGCAACTTCGGGAATCATTGCCCACCCCGTTATCTTGAAAATGATATGATTTAAAGGTCTCAAACTAGCATAGAAATGAAGCGTAGCACTTATTGTAACACTAAACTTAAAATAACTTACCTGAAAGATGTCGTACGCTGACAGTGTGAAGAAACGTAAAACAAGATTTTTGCACCACCTCACACTAGTCCTACTTCCGACATGTCTTGCCGACAACTGAGTGAACTTTGTAACGTCACGAGCATTTAGTGTTGCCAAAAAATATTCTAATTTACGCTAAATATTGAAAAATGTTGTCAGCTGTGTAAATTTATTTACAATTCAAGATTTAAGTTATTTTTCGTGTTCGGGCAAAGATATCCGCTAAGGGCAATGATGGCCGGTTTTACGGTACCTTATTTTTAAGTGAGACTTTATGCTAATAAATGTCTTCATTGCGTTGATATGGAACAGACAGCTAAAATAAAGTAACTTTTTTATAAATAGCTTGGTGGGTTGCGGTAACACCGGACGGATTTTCGACTAGTTGAAAAACTCTATTTTCTCGACATCCATATACTTCAGATTTCTGGTACATGGCGCAAATAGCTAACTATTGTTAAACGTAGTTTAGCTATGAGAAACTTTTACTTTTGTAAACTCTATGGCTTCTGCTTAAAACGTGTGCGAAGGCTTTACTTACTACGCGCGCGCAGCACACACCCTACTTCCAGGAGCGACTAGCTGGACCTTGAGGTCGGGGCAGAATGAAATGGCGTCGTGTACCATATTGCTAGCATTTAAAAATATAGCATAATTCGCCGGGAATTTGAATTTTACGGTTTTGCCCCATCACCGATCTTACTCCAACGCGCCTTTGTTTTTGCTACTTCATCATAAGCATTCCCCAACACGATTTCTTCTTAAAATTCGTTGTTTTTCATTATTTTTTTATACTGCTTTAATAAGTATATAGATATACTAAACTGAACCGATTAAAGGTAATACTTTTTACTGTAAATGCGATGAGAAAGGTCTTTCCCATCCTCTCTATTATACATTTCTTCAGCAATCTTTTAGTCCATTACTGTATATAGGCATTTCCAGGTATTTGCTCGCAAGCATGCATTGCTCGAGTATATATTATATTCCTTGCCTCGCCCCGCTCGCCGGGCACTTTACGGCGTCTAACTTAAGCGGGGTGGTGATATCGCCATCATTTGATCGTTTTGGCGTTTACCCTAATAGTCTTATATGTCATCCACTAATTGAAATGGGATTTTTACGCCGCTGTATCAGGCGGCTCCATATGTTATAGTATATATACTATATAAAACGTAATAAAATATTATGAAGCTCATTTCCATAGCCTAAATTCGTTGGTGCTCGATAATCTCAAAAAACGAGACTTATTTGTTACCTGTAATTTTAATCGCTTATACGAATTTATAAAACTATTAATTACCGTACAAATGTTGTATGCTTGTCTTTTATCTATAAACAAATGTTTTTATTTTATTTAGTGTTGCCATTTAAAATACAAGAAAAGCATAGAATGTAGAAAATAAATAATTATTATATAACTACGAATATTCGTTGTATTTAAAGCACGTCTATTTAAAGATGTTTACAATACTCCTTTATGATGTTAATGTATTTATCTATATACTTAGTTGTACTTGAATAAAACGTTTAAATTATGATGGATTTTTTTTTATATATATAATAATTGACGTATAGAAATGTCCCTACTGCTGGAGTCTCATTTCGTTGGAAGCTTAGGAAGGTAATTAAGCTGGAACCTCCGTCCTACTTTACTGGTGCGTGGTAACCGGAGTTCTTTAATGCCTTTTGGTGTTTAGACATGACATGCAGGTTTAATTGCTATGATTTTCTGACGATGAAAGTCATCATGTATAATGATTAACGAGTACCAATTGCAACTTAGGTTTCTAGCTTATAAAAATTAAAACTGCGGGTGCTGTAGTAATCAAAAACTTCTTTTTTAATACCGACATCACTTACACATTGTTGAGCGACGAACGAAACTCCAATCGCTGACTTAAATGAAGACCGCTAAAGAAACTTTACATGTAACAAGAAAAAAAGAATTTACGTAACTTATTTGCGTAAGTTTTTATTCCAGGCGTTCATTATGTAGTTTTTTTTACATAATAATTTATCTTGGAAACTCCGTTTTAATACTAATTACTTAGAACTGACAGTGATCTAGCCATGATATAATCATGACTAGATTGAACTGTTTGGTCGTAGGTCATCAATTTACCAGTTTTATTTAGTTTCATGATAGATGAAACGGGTGTTTTACAGCATTTAATTACACTTAGTAATTACAACTATCATGTTAAATAAGATAGTAAGTAAATACCAAATTGTATTATAAAAGATCAACCTTTAAGATTATTAAAAAAATCAGACTTACATAAATAACATAACATAAACACTCACGCCTGTCACTCAGAGGGGTAGGCAGAGACTACAGACTTCCATTTGGCACTATCCTGACACACCTCTCTCGCCTCCTTCACGTCCATATACCTACGCACACATGCTCGTCGATTAAGGGTACTCCTAATTTAGCCCGCTTTCAATAAATCGTTAATTTGGTCGACAAATTTTTATTACCTTTTTTGAATTATTGGTAGAAAAAAAATTACTATTGAACTAATCAAGTGTTCTTACCAGTTATTATTGTTACGAGCTTGAGGTTCGTGACAATAAAAATTGCCGATAGGATTACCTAAATTAACACTTTAATTTTCTTTACACAAATTAAAACTTAAAACACCAATAATTAAGCACACTAATTCACTTTATTCCGCCACTCCTTTTCGCAAATTTATTCCCGATCGCACCTTGCAGCGCCTATAAATACACATTAGTACCGAATCATCCAGAATATTCAAGTAAATACGCGCACCAATCGACAAAGCGCCGAAAGTTCGAGAGTCAGCTTCCAGAAGCTTAGTTCTTCATTTCGACAACAGATGGCGCTGTCGGTTGAAAGATTAGTGATGTCATTTTCGGGAAAGTTCTCCCCTTGCTTCGTTACCCGACACTAGATGGCGCTAGTGCCAGATGTCTACCCCCTCCTACTACCTCCTACTGCCCCCTCCTAAGACATGCTCGTCCCGAGCATTATCGGCCCCATAATAACGCGCCAGGCGATCCACATGGACGATCTTAGGAGTCCCTCTTGCGCCATTCTGTATCCGATAGGTTACATCGTTGATCCTGGTCACAATCCGGTACGGGCCGTCCCATTTAGCTTGAAGCTTAGAAGATTTCCCTTTGCTGCGGACCGGATTGTGCAACCACACTAGTGAATCTTCGTCGAACCCTTTGTTGTTAATTTTGCGATCATACCGGGTTTTCATCTTTTCAGACATTTGCTGGCCCGATTGTCTGACGTGTTCATAAATGTCACTCATTTTGTTCCGCAAGGCATTTGCATAATCGGTTATACTGCGTGGGGCATCAGGTGGTATCCCGGTGATCAGGTTTGCAGGCAGCCGTAATTCTCTTCCAAAGTTTGCGAAAGCTGGTGTCACTGATGTACTTTCGTGAACAGCGCTTCGATATGACAGCAAAAACGGTTGTATGTGCTTATCCCAATCTCGTTGCCGGTTGTCTACAACTTTTGCTAGGTACATCTCCAATGTCTGATTAAATCGTTCTACCATTCCATCAGATTGCGGGTGATAAGAAGTCGTTCTTGTTTTATGAGTACCCATAACTCGGCAAGTTTCCTGGAATATTTGAGACTCAAAATTCCTTCCTTGATCGCTGTGAATCTCTAAAGGTACTCCAAAACGACAGAAGACTTCATGAACTAGCTTATCCGCAAATGTTGAAGCTTCTTGATTTGGAATGGCGAAGACTTCTGGCCACTTAGTGAAGTAATCCATCACAACCATGAAATACTTGTTACCGCTTTCACTCTCCGGAAACGGCCCCGCCACGTCAATGGCTATTCTCTCCCATGGTGCACCAACATTGTACAACTTCAATGCACCTCTACTACGAGTCTGAGGTCCCTTTACAGCCGCACAACTTGTACATTTGCGACACCAGTCCTCGACATCGACTCGACAGTGGTCCCAATAAAACCGTTCTCGGATCTTCAGTAGAGTTCGTTTAACTGCGGCGGAGAGCCCCCCGGGTGTTTTCCGGGCCCCCGGTAATGTTCTAAATGCTGTTTATAACTCGGAATGTTGATAGCGTGATTTAGGCTTCGTGTGTTTCGGTTGTGGCGCGACGCCGCCGCTACAAACTCCCAGATGGCCTCCGGAATAATCATTATGGTACAGCTGTAGAACATCAAGTATTTAGCTTTAGGGACAACCATTTGCAAATGACAGCTGTCTCCCCGAACATTTTCCCATTTACGGCACAGAACTCCATCCTGAAGCAGCAAGCTGTCCCACTGGGCCCAATAGCTTTTAGTGGTCGAACTCGTCGCTGAGACGTCGCTCCACTTGGGCTTGGGAGCACTGGCCTTCATCCATTCCAGAATCGGTTTGATGTCCGGATCTTCCTGCTGTGCACGTTGTAAGCTGTCCTTCCACTCGTTGCTGAGGTGGTCTGCCCTGAGCATTCTCACGGATATCACTTCCTTACTCTCTTGCCTAGTACAATGTTTACAATCTTCAGGACAAGGTCTTCTTGACAATGCATCTGCGTTGCCATGAGATTTCCCGCTGCGATGTTCGATCTCAAAGTCGTATTCCTGCAGTAGTTCAATCCACCTCGCAACTTGTCCTTCTGGATATTTAAATTGCAATAGCCATTTTAGTGCAGCATGGTCAGTTCGTAAGTGAAATTTTCGCCCCAGAAGATATTTGCTAAAATACTGCAACGACTTTACCACAGCTAGCAATTCACGTCTTGTAACACAATAGTTCCTTTCCGGTTTTGACAACGACTTGCTGAAGTACGCTATCACAATCTCTCGATCACCGTTCCGTTGAGACAACACACCGCCGAGCCCTGTATCATTTGCGTCTGTGTCAACTATAAATTCTTTGCTTGCATCAGGGTATCCCAAAATAGGTGTTTTGCACAGACGGTCCTTGAGCTCCTGGAATGCGATATTGCAACTTTCATCACAGCAGAAATGTCGCTTCTCCTCGGTTAGCTTATGCAGAGGTTTGGCTATATCTGC